TTTTAATTATTAGTGTTAGCGCTTCCTTTTTATAGCTTATCCATGTTTTTACTTCTGTTTTTCTGCACTTCTCTGTAAACATTATTATCATTGCCAGCACATTTTGTAAAAAATCAAAGTTGTTTTTGTGGTTGATCTCATGAAATATGGATCCTGTTTTAACAAGTAACGCATTATATGTAATTTTTTTTATTTCCGGGATTTCCTTTAATGTAACTGAATTATGTCGAACCTGGTGATTATTACTTTTTAAAAATAATGGCCCTTGAAACCACAGCTGGTTTCCTATTAACTCCGATGGGTATTTACCTCTAGCCACGATGTCCGCTGGATTCTGCTCTGACTCAACAAACTGCCAACATGCAATTTTTGTTTCTGTTTGAATAAAGTTAACTCTATTTGCCACAAATGTTTTTAATGACGCTGGGTCAAGTTTTAACCAGCTAAGCACAATCTGTGAATCGCTGTAGTAGAAAATTTTGCTGAATTTGATTTTCAAACTATCTCTAACCTTTTTCGTTAACTCAACTAAAAGTACTGCGGCGCATAATTCCAGCCTTGGTATTGTTAAAAGTTTAATTGGCGCTACTCTGGATTTGGACGCGGCTATGTTAATTCTAATTTTATTGTTACAATCTATTGATTTAATATAGATTACTGCACCATATGCTTTCTCAGATGCATCACCGAAACCATGCAACTCTATTGTTTTGGCGTTGTTTCCAATTAACATTCTGGGTATTTTCATTTCATTTAGTATTGGGAGTTCTTTTTTTATTTTTTCCCATGCCTTTACACTTTCTTCTGAAGGCGCTTGGTCCCAGTCTAACTTGGATTTCCATAGATCTTGCATCAGAATTTTCGTTGTCACTGTCACTGGACTTATTAAACCTAAGGGATCAAATATTTTCGAAATGTCTGACAGAATGCTGCGTTTGGTTACCTTACTATCACATTCCCAGTTGCATTTAATCGAGAAGTCATCCGTTTCTGGTAACCAGGCAACTCCTAATGCTTTAATGGGATTAGCTTGCTCTATATTAAATTCTACTTTCATCCCTCTATCTGCTACTGACATTGATTTTAAAAGGTCTACGCTATTTGAACACCATTTCCTTAAATGAAATCCATCTTTTTTAAGAGTGCCAGTTATTTGTTTTTGTACTTCTTTTAGTTCTTTTATTGTATTTGCCCCAGTCATTAAATCGTCCATGTAGAAGTCATTTTCAATTGCTTCAGCCGCCTTAGCCCATTTATTTTTTATTTTTTCTGCGGATTTTTTCAAACATTTTACTGCTAAATATGGCGCAGCTTTTGTTCCATACGTTACTGTTTGCAAAGCGTATGTATTTAAAGGCATTCCCTGTTCCCATCTCCAATATATAAGCTGATACTTTTGATCCTCTGGCTTAATCCAAATTTGTCTATACATTTTTTCTATGTCTGCTGTAATGACATAAGTGTGTTTTCGGAACCGAAGTAATATGTTAAACAAATCTTCTTGCAGTCTTGGACCTGCATGCAATACGTCGTTTAATGCTATACCATTAGACGTTTTGCATGATGCATCAAACACGACTCTCAGCTTGGTAGTAGTGCTTTCCGGCCGTAAAATAGCGTGATGAGGGAGATAATATTTTGATTCCAACTTTTCCGCATTTGCAATTATCTTCATATGCCCTAATTCGATATATTCTTTTATGAAATTTGTGTGAATTTTTGTGAATTTGTGTTCCTTTAGGCTTGGGTCTTTATTGAATTTTCTTTCTAATGCCGAAAAACGTCTTTTTGCTTGAGATTCAGAATATCCTAAGTTTTTCGGTGTATTTTTAAATGGCAGAGCAACAATATATCGTCCATCCGCTCCTCTTGACACATTTTGTTCAAATTCCTGTTCACATTCTACCTCCTCCTTTGATAATGTAATGTTTTCTGTCATTTTTTCTTCAATTTCCCAAAACCTTTTAAGTTGATGTTCAATTCCAACTCCAGAATAGGTCACTACTCGACCTTCTTTTGAAGGACTCTCTAACTCTATTTTACCGTAAGCAGCCCAACCAAAAAGCGTTTCTCGTAAACGCAATCTTCCTTCGTTCAATTGAATCTTTCCGGATTTTTCCGTTTCATGCACCAGATCTATACCGAGAAGCATATCAATACCTTGTGGAATGTTGAACTGTGGATCCGCTAACTCTATGTGATGTTGAATATTTCCAATTTCAAACCTTTTCTTTGGCATATTAGATACAATTTTTTTACTAATTAATACCTCAATTTCGGTGTTGAATTCTGTGGTTTTTGATCTAATCTGAACACTCATACCTTCGTTTATTTGAGAAAAGTTATCTGAAAACCCTTCAATTGTTTCCTGTACCTTTTCTGCCTTTAATTTTAATTTTCGCTTAAACTCTGTAGTGATGAAATTTACTTCTGAGCCACTGTCTAATAATACTCTACAGTTTTGCCATTTGCCTTCTCCATCTAATACTTCAACGACTGCTGTTGATAGCAAAACACATTTTTTCTCCTTTTTGAAACATTTTGAGCTAGTCACTACTGAATTGTCTATGTGTAAAAGCATATGATGTGGACCGCTGCATGTGCGACAAACCCAATTACAGGTAGCAAAGGAATGTCCCATCTGCAAGCATTTTCCACAAATTTGGTTCTTTTTTATTATTTGCCATCTTTCTCTTATTGTTAGTTTTTTAAATTTCTGACACTTATATACGGGGTGACTATAATTGCATTCCAAAACACAAGTCTTTTTTTCTATTTTGTGATATAAACTTGGCTTTTCATTTTTATTCTTCTGCGCATTGCTGTTACCATCCATTTGGCAAGCTTCTAATGCAGAACATTCATGCTCTAAGAATTTTAACAGGGGGTCAATTTTTTGAACAGTTTTAGGGTTTTCCAGGGATTTTTCATATCTAGTTCTAAGATTTTCGTTCATTTTTTTTACTAGTAATGTGTTAAAAAGGCTTTGTAGGATGAGTTCTTCAGACAACTTCATTGCTTTTATAGCCTGAATATTTTTGTTAATTATGCATAAAAATTGCTTTACGCTGTTTACGGACTCACTAACCGAGGGAGCTTCAATTATGTTGTTCAAATAAATAGCCAATGTTGCTCTAGGGTTGGTAAACTTGCTATCTAACAGGGACCATGCTAAATCAAAATTGTTCTCTGTTGACGGCAAATTTTCTATTGTTGCTGCAGCATCGCCCTTTACTTTGGTTTTCAAGGCACACATTTTTTGTGTGTTCGAAATGTTTGCTGAGCCAATCAACTGCATAAAAAGTTCCTTGAACGTATTCCACTCTGTATAGCTTCCATAAAAACACGGTATTTCAATTTTTGGCAAGTCGAAGTTCATATTTTCCTTTTTTAATTCCGGATTCATATCCAATTCGTAATATTGGTCTGTTAACCTCTCAAACTTTTCTTCTAACTCTCCTATACCCCATTCATTTGAATATTGATAATAAAGATCATCTGCACGGGTTTTAGCTGTTTTGATTTCACTTAAATCTTTTCCATCATATCTTTTTAAGGACATCTTAAAACATTTTAATGCATGTTCTATCTTTCTAACAGCCGTACTTTTTGTATTATCTGGGCCTACTAATGACTGCGATTCTAGCAAATCAGCATTCCTATTTATCTGTTTATTCATTTGCCCCAATAATGAGTAAGTAACTGTAAAAAGTTCACTTACCTTTTCTCCAAATTTTTCTTTAAAATATGGTGATTTCAATATTGTCGCTGAAGGATTTTGCAGTCCGATTTTATTTGCCTCGAACTGGATCCTCAGCTCTTCTACCTTGCGGTTCCACTGGTCCAGCTGCTGACCCGATCCATCCCACTTTGCCGCTGCATTGTAAATGGCCTCCAAAACTCTTCCAATGCCCTCTTGCTCTTTTATTATTTGGGCTTCGTTTGCCATATTGATTTTTAGTGCAGTACTTTTAAATTTCCGCACAATATTTAATAATTTTATATTGGTATAAATGATTTTATTATTATTTTTATATATATATTTGGTTGCTGTTGGTACGGGTGCTGGGTGTTTAAGTCCACTATTTACTTTTTAGGGACACACGGCAGCACAACACAACACAACACTTTTTAATTTTTTGGCTGAAATTCGCACGGGTGCTGGGCTTATAAGTCCTTCTTTTGATTTTTAAGGACAATATAAATACACACCGCACAACACAACACAACACTTTTTAATTTTCTTTGAGAGCTGGATGTTTTAGTCCACTATTTTAATTTTTAGGGACACAACGCAGCACAACACAACATAACACTTTTTAATTTTCTTTGAGAGCTGGATGTTTTAGTCCACTATTTTTATTTCTAGGGACACAACGCAGCACTTCTTACACTTGTGTCCTTTTTATTTTTTAAGGACAATATATTAACACAGCACAACACAACACTATTTAACTCGCGTGTACTTTTCGAGGGGTCACCAATGTATTGAGCGGAGCAGGATTGGTGGGAGGATAATAATACGCGACAAAGTTTTGTGGATGAATGAACAACGTCGATAGCTCGACTGCTTTATTTATATATAAATTCTTATCCTAGTTCTTATGCTATCGCCTACATACTATCATCGATTCCTTATCTTCTACCATGTGTGCGTACTTTATCAGGTAGCTCATGTTAGCCAGCCGCAGCATGCTCATCCAGCGCGGTGGCGAGCCTGAGCTAATGATTTGTGTACTTACACATCCTTATCTATTAAGCTGGCGCCTGCCAGCTACGAAAATGTTGGTGCTATGTTCGGCATCTAAGGCCGAACTCATTATTATCTGTATAAGAGAGCATGTCTGTTTATCGAGGTTTTATCTATAACAATATGATAATGTACCCTTCGTGGTCTAGACAGAGCAAATCTAGCTTATCAATTAATTTACATTTACTTAGGATCTCGTTAGAATTGAACACAACCTTTTTCCCTTTTTTTTTTTTTTGGTATCTAATAGCGTGACGATCGCCAGAGGCCAGAGGACCAGGTTCTAATGCGGGCGTTGCGTGATTTTAACATTCCAAAGATTGTCACAGATGACGTGCCCGTATTCATGGGACTTATTGGCGATCTATTTCCGGCGCTTGACGTGCCCCGTAAACGCAATCCTGAATTCGAAGCAGTTATCAAGCGTTCAGCGATAGACTTAAAGCTGCAGCCAGAGGAAGGATTTATATTAAAAATTGTTCAGCTGGAGGAGCTGTTTGCAGTACGACATTCAGTGTTTATCATTGGCTTTGCCGGCACAGGAAAATCGGAGGTGTGGAAGACATTGAACAAGACTTACCAAAATCAAAAACGCAAGCCCCACTACAACGATCTGAATCCGAAAGCTGTGACCAACGACGAACTGTTCGGCATAGTTAATCCAGCAACGCGTGAATGGAAAGATGGACTATTTTCTATATTGATGCGTGATCAGGCCAATTTAGGTGGCACTGGGCCCAAATGGATTGTTCTAGATGGTAAGATATTCCCAAAATTAAACACCAAGCTCATTAGTTGTTACCAAAGACGGTGAATTGACTATTTTGCCCAATTTATTTAGTTGCTTGAGAACTAATTACAACTATTCCCTTGCTTGCAGGTGACATAGATCCCATGTGGATCGAGAGCCTAAACACAGTAATGGATGACAATAAAGTGTTGACATTAGCCAGCAACGAACGGATTGCTTTAACAAAAGAGATGCGTTTGCTTTTCGAAATCGCTTCGCTTCGCACGGCCACACCTGCAACAGTATCGCGAGCTGGCATTTTATACATAAATCCGCAAGACTTGGGCTGGACCCCATTCATACAATCGTGGCTGGGCACACGCACAAATAGCAGTGAGGTGGCAACATTGAATGTGTTATTCGACAAATATGTACCTCAACTGCTTGATGCATTTAAGACCCGCCTGAAGAGTATTACACCAATATCTGACATTGCACGTCTTCAAATGACCTGCTTTTTGCTGGACAGCATGCTAACGCCACAGAATGTGCCCAACGATTGTCCCAAAGACTGGTATGAAATTTACTTTGTGTTTTCTATTGTGTGGGGCTTTGGTTCAACGCTCTTCCAAGATCAAATCATCGACTGGCGTAATGAGTTTAGCAAATGGTTCCTCAACGAGTTCAAAGCTGTCAAATTTCCCTCTTCCGGCAATATTTTTGCCTTCTATATTGACAACGAAACGAAGAAGTTTTTGCCTTGGACAAACCTTGTTCCCGAATTTGAGCTGGACCCCGATCTGCCATTGCAATCGAATTTGGTGAACACTTCGGAAACGACGCGTCTTCGGTTCTTTATGGATACGCTGATTGAGGCAGACCATCCAGTTATGCTCATCGGTCCATCCGGATCGGGAAAAACAATTCTTATGAATGCCAAGCTAAATGCTTTACCCACCGAAAAATATGCTGTAACGAATGTGCCGTTTAACTTTTATACCACTTCTGAGATGCTGCAACGTATTCTCGAAAAGCCACTGGAGAAGAAGGCAGGCCGCAATTTTGGACCTATCGGCAACAAACGGATGATCTACTTTGTGGACGATATGAATATGCCAGAAGTCGACAAGTACTTTACGGTGCAGCCACACACGCTGATTCGTCAATTTATGGATTATCATCATTGGTACGATCGATTGAAACTAACGCTAAAGGATATACACAAGTGCAACTTCGTAAGCTGCATGAACCCTTCGGCCGGCTCGTTTACCATAGATCCACGACTGCAGCGTCACTTCTGTTCCTTCGCCGTCAAGTAAGTGGTTTGCGTTTTTAATTGTAACTGTTGGCCTAACTTGCTCCTCCTATTAGCCAACCAAGTGCCGATGCACTGTTTCACATATTAAATTCCATACTGTCACAGCATCTTGCCATGCCACAGCATAAGTTTGATAAACATGTGATTAAACTCTGTCAACCATTAGTCCAAGCGGCCATCACACTGCATCAGAAAGTGGCATCCTCGTTTTTGCCAACTGCCATTAAGTTCCACTATAATTTCAATCTGCGGGACATAGCCAATATATTCACGGTAAGTAAATAATTGGATGAAATAGACAATAATGCTATCACCGACATGTAGGGAATACTTTATGCTAACAACGAAACTTGTCCCAACATCAACCAAATGATGCGCTTATGGATTCACGAGTGCAATCGTGTCTATGGAGACAAACTTGTGGATTACACCGACATTGGGAACTTTAAGAAGATCGTTGCAGAGGTGGTACGCAAGGGCATTGAAGGCATTAGCGATGAAATTGTCTATGCACAGCCGCATATCTACTGCCACTTCGCCAAAGGCTTGACAGACATAAAGTACATGCCCATACCCAATTGGGACCGTTTGAAAAATCTGCTTGAAGAGGCACAGGACCGCTACAACGACTATGTGGGTGCCATGAACCTAGTGCTATTCGACGATGCCATGTCTCATGTGTGCCGCATTAGCCGCATAATTGAATCATCCCGTGGCTACGCACTGTTAATTGGCGTTGGCGGTTCAGGCAAGCAATCACTAACTCGTCTAGCGGCCTTCATTTCCTCTCTAGATGTGTTCCAAATACAATTGACAAAAGACTATAGTGTTAACGACTTAAAAGCAAATATAGCTTTACTATATACGAAAGCTGGAGTGAAGAGTACAGCCTGTTGCTTCCTCATGACCGATTCTGAAGTGGCACGAGAGCAGTTCCTTGTGCTAGTCAACGACCTGCTAGCCTCAGGCGACATACACGAGCTGTATCCAGACGACGAGATAGAAAACGTTGTGAACGCCGTCCGAAATGAGGTGAAGCAGCTTGGTATAATGGATAGTCGAGAGAATTGTTGGAAGTACTTTATCGAAAAGGTACGCAGTCTTCTAAAGGTGGTCCTTTGCTTCTCACCAGTAGGCGCAACATTACGAGTTCGCTCGCGTAAATTCCCAGCACTGGTGAACTGCACAACCATTGACTGGTTTCATGAGTGGCCGCAACAAGCGCTGGAGTCTGTATCGTTGCGTTTCCTTTCGGAAATTTCAGTGCTGCCCAAATCCCTGGGACCGCCCGTATCCAAATTCATGGCCTACGTACATAAAACCGTTAACGACATCTCGCAAGTGTACCTAAGTAATGCTAAACGCTACAATTACACGACTCCGAAGTCCTTCCTTGAGCTGATCGCTCTTTATTCAAAGCTGTTGCACGAAAAGGTTAAAGCCAACATGGATCGGAGAACACGATTGGAAAATGGGCTAATTAAGCTGGCAAGCTGCTCAAAAGAGGTGGATGCGCTGCAAGATGTGCTTAAGGTGCAAGAAGTGGAACTGAAAATAAAGAACAAGGATGCGGACGACCTCATTGTGGTTGTCAGTTCGGAGAACGAAAAGGTGTCGAAAGAACGAGCATTTGCATCTAAAGAGGAGAAGAATGTACGTCAAATCGAGGAAGATGTCACAGCCAAGGCCAAATTGTGCGAGGAAGATTTCCGAAAGGCACAACCTGCGCTCATTGCCGCCCAAGAAGCCCTCAACACTCTCAACAAAAACAATCTAACTGAATTGAAATCCTTTGGTTCCCCTCCTGAGGCAGTAGTCAGTGTATGCGCAGCGGTGCTTGTGCTATTCGCTTCCAAGGGCAAACTACCCAAGGACCGCAGCTGGAAGGCGTCACGTGTCTTAATGGGCAATGTCGACAAGTTTCTGGACAATCTTGTCAACTATGATAAGAAGCACATACATCCCGACATCATTAAGGCATTGCAGCCATATATTCAGGATCCTGAATTCAATCCAGAAAAAATCATGTCAAAGTCTTCTGCTGCGGCCGGTCTTTGCTCATGGGTGATAAACATTAACCGATTTTATGATGTATATCTAATAGTCGAGCCCAAAGAGCGGGCACTGGCTGATGCCGAGAAGGAGCTGAAGGATGCACGCGACAAGCTAACTGCTCTCAATCAGCGTCTTACCGAGCTTGAAGAACAGCTGAATGTTCTACAGTTGGAGTATGACGAGGCATTGGCCAAAAAGCAAAAATGCCAAGATGAAGCCGATAAAACGGCCTTTACCATCGACATTGCCAATCGGCTGATTGGCGGCCTGGCCACCGAAAAAGTACGTTGGACGGAGTCTGTTAAAAAGTAAGTATATAACACAATTTCCTAACCTGCATTACATGACCCACCAAAAATGAAGCTTGCAATCGGGCGTGATACAGCTACCCGGAGATATATTGCTTATATCCTGCTTCATATCGTACGTGGGTTGTTTTACACGCGCCTATCGCACGGAATTACAGCAGAAAATGTGGATGCCAACCTTCAAGAGTATACAGGTAAGACCCTCTCTGTATTTCTAGTACCTTCAACTTAACGCAATCCATTCATAGCCACCAATACCATCTACCGAAGGCGTCGATCCCTTCGATATGATCTGTGATGATGCACAAATTGCTGAATGGAATAATCAGGGTCTACCGAGTGATCGCATGTCGGCCGAGAATGCTGCAATATTGGTGCAATCTGAGCGCTACCCGCTCATGATCGATCCTCAACTGTAAGTGTTAAGACCATGAATATCTGCATGAAATAACTCATTATAATAAACAGGCAAGGCATTAAATGGGTGAAAACCAAGTACGGTGCTGGACTAATTGTGCTGCGCCTTGCCCAGCGCAGTTATTTGGATCAGGTGGAAAAGGCGGTCAGTAATGGCAGTACACTATTAATAGAAAACATTGGGGAAAGTGTTGATGCTGTTCTCAATCCCCTACTTGGGCGCATGTTAATTAAAAAGGGCACAATATTGAAGATTGGTGATCGTGAGATCGATTACAATCCGAAATTTAGATTGATCTTGCACACCAAGCTAGCCAATCCACATTACAAACCCGAAATGCAAGCTCAAACCACACTTATAAATTTCACAGTAACACGTGATGGTCTAGAAGATCAGTTGCTGGCCGAAGTGGTGAAGGTAGAAAGGCCCGATCTGGAGACCATGCGCTCACGTCTCACACAACAACAGAACCACTTCAAGATTACGCTAAAGTTTCTGGAAGATGATCTGCTCGCACGATTGTCGTCAGCCGGCGATAATGTGCTGGAAGATGTTACTCTGGTCATGAACTTGGAGAAGACGAAAAAGACGGCAGACGAAATTGAGGTGAAGGTGGCCGAAGCGAAAATAACTGCCGTCCAAATCGACTCGGCCCGTGAGGCCTATCGACCCGCATCTGAACGTGCCTCCATTATATATTTCATACTCAATGATCTGTTCAAAATCAACCCCATATATCAATTTTCTCTCAAAGCATTCACCGTAGTATTCAACAATGCAATGCTAAAGGCAACTCCATCAGATAAGCTCAAGGAACGTGTCGAGAATCTTATCGATTCAATAACGTACTGTAGCTATATATATACTTCACGTGGTCTCTTCGAGCAGGATAAGTTGATTTTCCTCACGCAAATGTGCATTCAAATCTTGGTGAATGCCGGAGAAGTGGAGCCCAGTGAACTGGACTTTTTGCTCCGTTTTCCTTATATGCCTAATCAGACCTCTAACTTCCCTTGGATGACGCATGTTGGCTGGGGAGGCATACGCGCCTTGAATAACATGGTGGCTTTCAAGGGTCTTGAAAAAGACATTGAGGGATCGCACAAGCGTTGGAAAAAGTTTGTCGACTCGGAAAGCCCTGAGAATGAAAAGTTCCCTGGCGAATGGAAGGGCAAGTCCGCCATACAGCGCTTATGCATTATGCGCTGTATACGCCCCGATCGTATGTCCTATGCTATGCAAACCTTCATCGATGAGAAACTTGGATCAAAGTACATTGATGCTCGTTCTGTAGAATTCGGTAAAACATTTGAGGAAAGCAGCCCCGAAACACACATGTTCTTTGTGCTATCCCCTGGTGTGGACCCACTTAAAGATGTGGAGAAGTTAGGAAAAGTGCTAGGATTTAGCTTTGATCATGAAAACTTTCACAGCGTTTCACTGGGCCAGGGTCAGGAAATTGTGGCCGAGAATGCTATTGCAACAGCTTCTCAAAATGGGCATTGGGTCATCTTACAAAACATTCATTTAGTGGCGCGCTGGCTGCCTAGTTTAGAGAAGAAAATGGAGGCATCGCTAAGAGATGTGCATCCCAATTATCGACTATTCCTCAGTGCAGAGCCAGCGGGTGATCCATCTATGCACATATTGCCACAAGGCATTCTTGAGTCTGCAATTAAAATAACGAATGAACCGCCCACGGGAATGATGGCAAATATTCACAAAGCTTTGGACAATTTCAGCGATGAAACGCTCGAGATGTGCTCCAAAGAAACCGAGTTCAAAGCCATTCTATTTTCGCTTTGTTACTTCCATGCTGTTGTAGCCGAGCGACGCAAGTTCGGACCGCAAGGCTGGAATCGTGGCTATCCCTTCAACGTTGGCGATTTGACAATTTCCGTTTATGTGCTTTTCAACTATCTGGAAGCTAACACGCGAGTACCGTGGGAGGATCTGCGGTATCTCTTTGGCGAAATCATGTATGGTGGCCATATTACGGACGACTGGGATCGTCGACTATGCCGCACGTATCTAGAGGAGTTCATGCAGCCAGAGCTTATTGATGGCGAGCTGGAATATTGTCCGGGCTTTCCAGCACCGGGTATTCTTAAATATGATGGCTACCATCAGTATATTGATGACAATTTGCCATCTGAGAGTCCAGCGCTATATGGTTTGCATTCAAATGCCGAAATTGGATTCCTCACCACAGTCTCGGAACGACTGTTTCGCATTGTTTTTGAGCTGCAACCTCGAATGTCCAGCGGCTCGGCCAGTGGTGGCGGTGAAACAGTGTCACAAGAGGACATCATCAAGGGCATTATTGAAGACTTGTTGGACAAAATACCCACGCCATTTAATATACTCGAGCTTATGGGTCGAGTCGAGGATCGAAATCCTTACATTATAGTGGCATTCCAGGAGTGCGAACGTATGAATATACTTATGTCTGAGCTACGGCGCTCGCTGAACGAGCTAGATTTGGGCCTTAAAGGAGAACTTACCATTTCGTCAATAATGGAGGACCTAATGCAGTCTCTTTACATGGACCAAGTGCCCGAGTCCTGGACAAAACTGGCTTATCCCAGTTTGTTAGGCCTACAGTCTTGGTTCTCTGATCTGATGCTGCGCTTACGTGAACTCGAAGGCTGGGTTGCTGACTTCCGCATGCCCTCATCCATTTGGCTAGCAGGCTTCTTTAATCCGCAATCCTTACTCACGGCCATTATGCAGCAGACAGCGCGCAAAAACGAATGGCCGTTAGATCGCATGTGTCTAAATTGCGATGTTACCAAGAAATTTAAGGAAGAAATCACGTACGCAATCACACTTCATCCCAGCACTTTAATTATTAAATTTTTGCATTTACAGATCACCACCACGTGAGGGTGCCTATGTAAATGGCTTGTTTATGGAGGGCGCTCGTTGGGATATGAAACTAGGCACCATAACTGATGCGTTCAACAAGGAACTGTTTCCGGCTATGCCAGTGATATTTATAAAGGCTGTAACACAAGACAAACAGGATACGAAGAATATTTACGACTGTCCAGTCTACAAAATTCGGCAAGTGACTCGTAAAAACCATGGACTGCTGTCGTCTAATCGCTGACGGAATTCCGTGCTGAAATTTGCTTTCATTGTTTTCAGTTAAATAGTCTTTTGTTTTTTCTACTCCCTTTCTCTATCACAATCTATGCGAGTTTGGTGTCTGTCAGCATTCCCTTTTCAATTTCCTCATTCACTCGAACTAACTTCCTTCCGCTGACTTGTCGCCATACTCGTCCTCGTCCTCATCCTCAACGTCATCGTCAATTCATGACCACCCACCAGTCACGGTCGTCTGTCTGTTCAATCGTCAGTGCATTCACATAACAAGGCTCTGCGTTTGTCAATCAATAGTGAATTGTTTATTGAATGTTGTCGTTGAAGTTTTGTGCCAATTTGAGCTTCGGTCTGTGTGCTTGCCGAACAGACTAACCACTCCTCTCCCCACCCCCTCTTTCACTCTCTTTTCTCTCTCCTTTATCTAACTATTTTCGGCTGCTAGCACGTGCTGTAGCTTTGTTTCAAATTTCGGCTGATGCACCACACTAAACAAAACCACTAAACTTTGTTTACACAACTTGCTTGCTTTCGCTCGCTCCCTCTGTTTTGCGCATTTTCAATTGAATAGGAAATTGTGCAATAATCGATTTGGTCCAGTTCTGGTCTTGTCTATTTTTCACCGCCTGGTATTATTACTAATACACACTGTAGCCGTTTCAAGTATACCTACCTAATGCTCACATCAACTCAGCCAAATGGCTTTTGTTCAAATAAAATAATGTTGACTTTTTTCCACATAAGCACACACACAGACTCACACACACCCGCACGAGCAGTCCTTAACAAACGCACGAAATTGCTTTTAAACGAGCTCAGCCAGGACCGGGACGCCGTGCAGTCTGCCATCGCTGTCCCTGTCGCTGGCATGTGATGATTTGTTCGCACATAATGAAACTCATCAACAGCTACAGCTACTTGCAGTCATTCGTCCGGCACATGGCACTCATAAAGTGAGCGAAGCGCAGTTGAAAATCAACGCCTGTGGCCAGCACCATTTGGTTGAGGATCGGGTTGGCATAAATTCAAAAAACAAGTGCAGCCACTTAAGCGGGCAACATCAGCAGCAATGGCAGCGGGAAAGCGAAAATATAGTAAAAGCATTTTACAGCTTCATTTTTCATGGCTCAGTGCGAGCCACCTCGCCTCCCGCCTCGCGCTTCATGCGCCTGTCGCCAACTTTTGTGCGATTTACTTAATTTGAAGAGCGTCGGCCATCAAGAAGAAATTCCTTTTAAAATCAATTTGGCATTTATTTTTCTTGCGGCTTGGCCCGACTTCCCGTTTTCTTTCGTTTTTTGGCTTTCACTTCTGCTCTTCTGTTTGACTTGGACCGGATTGGACCGGACTGGACTGGACTCCATGCTATGTACATAATACTCTTCTTCTGTTTTGCAGGCTGCGCGGACCCACTTTCGTTTGGACATTTAATCTGAGAAGCAAGGAACGTGCCAGCAAATGGACATTAGCGGGCGTGTGTCTGCTATTGCAGACTTAAAAGCTGCCGCCGCCAAAAAGCAGACCAATATGTAAAATGATCTGTCTTATTGTCAAAGTGTTTATTTAAATACATTTTCAATTGATGGACGCTAACAAATGCATTTGGATTTCAGTCCCTACGTCGCTTTAGGGTCATTGAACTCATCTGGCGCCCCATCAGCTCTCGTTGATTTTGGTCAAGTAAATTTGCTCAGCTTAAGCAAATTCATTAACAGTTGCAGCTTACTGCTATCTTAATATGTATTCCTACCAAAAACAACAAACCGCAACTGCTGGTGGTGTCAACACAGATGAGGGCAATGCATTTGTCCCGCGGGTTTTGGTTTTGCGGCCTGCCATGCGCTTCTTTTTTTTGAGTAACGCTGATATTTCAAAGTAGAGTTCCCTCAAAGTTCCACAGCTCGCTCAGGACAACGACATTGTCATTATTTGCACTGAAATACCCTACAATGTGAACGAATTCAAAACAAATCAAAAGGTAAATAAACTCATGTTGCGTTTGGATTAGGAAGGTCTACAAAAATAGTTTGGCCATGTGGGCTCTGACGATTACTAAGTCCAAGCGTTCATTCAGATGGATGGACTAGATCAATTTGTCTCATTGTACCGTGATTTTGTAGGAATGCCTATTAAGTAATATTATTTTGTAAAGTAATAAACAATTATAATAAGCTTAATGCACCAGTTTCACAAACAACTTAATTGTCCGTTGCTTTGACGACAACTTCAAACTCTGAATCACAACGAAATTATAAGCAGTAAGACAGAAAGCTCCTCCTGTTGCCACCTTATTTCTTACATCATACAAATAGATATAAATATACATATAAAATTTATATTTTTGTTCGGAGATGGATTTTTACCCTTCCTATACAGGGTAAAAAAAATTTCGGAAAACATCGAATCCCTTTTTAATATAAGTATTCTACTTGTCCTCTGGTTGCCATACATTTTATTATACTAGAATAAAATAAATAAATAAGTTACACTTAGAAGAAAGAATGGTAAGCAAAAAGTTATAGTTCCATATAGTAGTTGATCAGTAAAACTATACGAATTCAAAATGCGTTGTCTGCCTGTCTGCCACCGTTTTAAAACTATCGCAGTGAAATTTTTGCATCGAAGCTTTTCGTTGACGGATATACACAAGGGCGTAGCCAGCTTTTACCAAAGGTTCTAAGTTATCTGTTTTCTTGGTTTTTGTGACATCAACAGAATTATTTGTCGTTAAATAAATATATATAAAATAATATACGAGTGTGTAGTAAGAATATCAAATTGAAAGAATGAAAATAATTCAAAATACAATAAAGGGTATTTAGCTTTGCAGCACGTTTTAAATAAAATTGCAGGCTTATAAACAATGTCTATGGTGCCAAACTAAATATAAAATCTGTTAGAACGCTGCTCTCTATTTCAAATCGAATCAAATCTACTTCAAATTGTAATTGTTAAAACATCGTTTCGAAATCATTGAAATAGTAGATCTCAGGTGATTTTTCAAAAACGTGGGCTGTGGAAATTGGAACCAACTCACATGCACTACATTTGAAGCTGTGCAGAAGCCGACATGCATCACTTCTGACGGCTTTCCACTGGCAAGTAGGGCACCCTGCGGTCGGTCGTGTGCACCAAAGCGTTCCGGCTTGTGTTTATGTGTACTTGCAGTAATTGCGTAGCACTTTAAGCATGCTGGCAACACTCGCTGACTACTATTTGTGTTGCTGCCGCTGCTGTTTTTTGCTGCGGGTGCTGTTGCTGGTGCTGGTGCTGCTGTCTCCGCAACTTCTGCGGCTTCTGCTGTTACTTGACACATGTCAGTCAGTCAGCCAGTCAGTCGCTGCGCTTGGCTTTTGCGCAGCGAAACAAAAGAAGCTTTAGGGATGTGGGGGCTGCATCGTGCATTTGGCATAAATGTTGCTTTGAGAGTGTGCGAAACATAAAATTAAGTTGAGCATGTTGCTGTTGCCTTTTTGTAGCTGTTGTTGTTGCTGCTGCTGTTGTTGTGGCTGACAACGGCAATATCAAAATTTTTAATGTGACGGCATGTGTGTGTGTGTGTATGGTGTTTATTGTGCAGCTTTATGGAGTGGTCAAGCGTCAACGTTTGACGCATTGCGGCCATGAAAGGAGAAAGTCAAATATTACGCATACGCAGCGTATGCTTGCCAAATGTACAAATTTTCATGAGTTCTACATTGTAGAGCAGCAACAGCAACAGTAACATCGCCATTGCTATGCATAGCCTCTACAGATTTATGCAGTCCATCAGGCGCCACTAATGTTCTCGCTTGCCACCTTGTCAGTGGACAGCGTCATCTGATGTTGACTTATGTGCATGGGGGCGGCGTATATCTAACAAAAAGTTTGCGCGAAAGGCGGAAATTACATTTCGCTTGCCGTGAGTGAAAAGTCGCAATTAATGCCAAGCTGCCTGCCGGGCTGAAAACTGCCATTAAAGTTTGCCCATTGCATTAGAGAGAGAGGGCGGCTGTGCATGCATTAAAACAAAACACTCTCACACACACTTTAAAGTGTTTTTCTTAATTCGAATTTGAAGTTTGATCGATAAATTGGGTGTGTGTGCCATGGTGGCTCCACGGGTCTCTGGTTCTGTGGTGAGCTGAGGCAATTGCAACCCATCCATACCCGGTATTAGAGGTCATCATCATTTGCACGCCAAACGCTCGCCCATTCGCATGGCGCGGATTTCGAGCCGTGCGTACAATTCAGTTCAATTCGTTTGGGTTCAGTTCGGTTTAGTTCGTTAAGTGACGCGTGTGGATTTGCCAGCAGCAAGCACAGCCTCAGCTGATTCGTTTGATTTGCGGCCGATGGTAAAGAGAATAAGGGCGGACGGGGATATGTGCGGGTGGGCGGCCATTGTCGTTTGTGCATGCCATTAAACAACATGATGCATGATGCCGGAGCGCTGGCCAGCAGCGATGAGGACATACCAGCCACGAACCAACGCGCCCTGCGCGAGTACACCGATCCGCGCCTGGAGCGTGTGGCCGCCTACACAACGGCCACAATGCGTCTGAAACCGGACAAGTGGACCAAAATGATGGCCAGTGACGAGTTTCGGGTATGTATGAACCACTAAGCCACTAAAAATCTAGGCCTTAAAATTATAGATGGGGCAAAGGCGATAATAAGTTTTTTAAAAAGCCTTAATTTTAATGAAATTTGCGAAATATATTAAATAGCATAGTCATGGGTATTGTAGGTCTACTATTGATACTACATATTGCTTGTTGAAAAATAAGTTTAAAACAAGAAGGAATGCTAAAGTCGAGCGGGCTCAACTGTCTATGCGTGTTTGTGTACTTGTACATATGTATGTGTGCATTACATAATTATGTCAAAGCAGCAACAAATACAGCTGCGGACAGAGCTTGGTCTTGATTATATGGCTATAACTTTCTTTCTAATCAAACTATCTTAATAAAACTTGGGACACGGATATATAATTAACTGGATGTTAATACCACATTTTAGTTTGAAATTCCAAGAATAACGGGAGTTATAGAAAATTGCAAACAGCGGGAAAGTGGGGGGTGCATCGGCAAAAATGAACAAACTCGTCCTTTCTCGGGCTCAGGAGAATCTAGATACCAAGTTTGGTTATTCTAGCTCTTATACTTTCTGAGATCCTTGCGCTCATACAGACAGACAGACGGACATGGCTATTTCGACTCGACTTGTCACCCTGATCAAGAATATATATACTTTGTGGGGTCTGCCACGCCTCCTTCTGTGTGTTACATACATTCGCACAAAACTAGTATAGCCTTTTACCCGTTGGGTACAGCCTATAAAAATATATTCCATCAATAGGGTTTCATCACGTTGGAACTGAAATATATATCTGTGCTCTGATTCCGCATAAAGCTGCACCACTTCAATACTTGTTATGCATTAACTAGAATTGTTTTTAACGAGGCTTCACTATATGTAAATGAGTAAGTATACACAATGCAATTGCAGCGCGTCGTTCTGGACTGGCTGGAGCAGCGACAAACTCGTGTACTCGTCCTGACTTTGAGTCCAGGCGGTGAACTGATACCGCGAAGCAGCTTGAGCGATTTGTATCAGAACTATGCAGTGCAGAGCAGCGCACGGGCCCCCAATACTGGTACCAACAACAGCAACAACAAAAGCGAACTGGTGGATGCAATCGCCACCGCCACGGTCGCGGTGTCGGCAGCTTTAGCAGCCAGCAGTGCGTTGCTGGTGCCCATGCCACCCGCTTCATCGTCCTTTACAACACTGGACGGCGTACCGCGAGGTAAATGCGCCTATTTTGTGCGACGCGATGAGGATGTCCTGCTCAATGACAGCAACTTCGAAATGGCTGTGCTTTATGGCGACTTTCCAGTGCATAGCAAAATCGAAACTTTGTCGCTACTGTTCGACGAGGTCCTGCAGCCGCTGCTTGAATGTCCGTTAAATCAAAAACGGTGGCCCGCTGTGGTTAGCAAAGATCTGCAGGCGCGTATCAAGGAAGTCCGCAACACGCTGATCGAGGTAGGTGTGGAACAGACATTAAACACATTATTGTGAAGACAACCATTTCGTATTTTTTACCTTTCGCGTATAGCACATTTTGAAATAAAAATACATGTTATCTGTAACACTTAACAAATAAGAAAATCAAACTCACGTTGCGATTATTTTCATTAATCTGGGGTTTTTATTTTTTTTACAAAAAAATATAACCCATTTCACCGTTACCCATTGGTGCTTAACACTTAAAAATCTTTGAGCTCTGAATGGTTCTGTGCGAAATCAAAACAAGAGAGAACGCTACAGTCGAGCCCGACAGTAAATTAGCCTGTACGCTCCACAAAAAATAAAAATTATAAAAAATTTAATATTTAAAAAAAATTAATTAATTTATTAAATTAATTAAGAAGATTTATTTAATACATACATAGAAGACATCTTTATGTACAGTTTTACATTTACATCAAGTGTCTGTGCTTGTTTATATACGTGTATGTATGCAGCACAAAGTTAAACCAAAGCAGCAGCAACAATAACAGCTGCGGGCAGAGCTGCAGGCAGCGCATGGGCAGCGATTTCTTCAGAATTGACCCATCGTGATGAAACTTGGCACACGGACACATAAGTACTAACTGGATGTAACTACCAAAATTGATTTCAAAATTCCAAGAATTACGGAATTCATAAACAAAAATACGAATTGCGTGGGAGTGGGGGGGGGGGTGGTATCAGAATAATAAAATAAACTTGACCTGCCTAGGGCTTATGGGAATCTGGACACCGAGTTTCGTTATTCTAGCTCTTATACTTTCTGAGATCCTTGCGTTCATACAGACAGACAGACGGTCAGGCGGACAGACGGACATGGCTATATCGACTCGTCTTGTCATGCTGATCAAGAATATATATACTTTGTGGGGTCTGCCACGCCTCCATCTGTGTGTTCCATGTACACTCGCATAAAAAAGAAAGAAACCACATCAAAAATTTAATTACCCGAAACTTTTCGTGCACAGGCTAATCTTAGATATCCATTTAGTTGGAAATGAAAATATGAATGCATTTATATAAATGTAATGTCCACACAAGGCATTTGTTTACAATTCACATATAAATATAATATGTTGTAAGTATTTGAATTTTTGTACCCCGGGAATTTGGACCGAGTAGAAAAATGTGAAACAATGTTTATCTTGAGGTACGTGCATTTCTGCAACTTTTTCAACTCATAGGCGAAACAATTTGAAAACAATAATCTCTTGAAATTAAACGGAGCTGTTTGAAATCAACTCGAAAAAGGTTCAGTTCTGTATACCATTATATTCAAGCTTCAAATGGTCTACCAAATTCCTGACTCTTGTTTTAAATATATTAAAGCATCTGAGCGGCGTATTTATTTAGTCAGATGAATCTTATAAACTGGAAAACAGTGATTTCAGTATCATTGTATATTAATCTAATTGAGTGCAGAATGCTATGGGCGTCTGGAGGGGTTGTGGTTGGAGTATGTTGCGCTCATTTTCCTCAAAGTATTTGTCTTAATTGGTAAAAGTTTGGCCAGTTCGTATGCGTGTGCTTGTATCTGCTATTTATACTTTATTGTTATCCTTACAGATTAAGGGCAAGACCAACAATCGCACAATTTTATCGTTATTAGTTTCGCCAACAATCGTCGAGGAAGTTGCCGCCCACGTGGACCAGGGGTAAGTTGGCACAACTTTGCTCATTCTCGTTGGCCCATTGTCTCGGCGACAAATTCCACGCGCACACTCACACACAAACAGACAGTGCGAGACAAAGGCCTTTACCAACAGTAAACGGCACCGAACAGGATGTGTGTGTGGGGCTATGTATGTATGTGATTGTCCAGCCATCTTGTCGGCGGCATTGGGGAAACTCTTATAAAGCCTGCACGATGGCTTGTAATCGAATTTGGGCAAAAGTTTTTGCACATGAATTGGCACAAATTTATTGCCACACAATACAAGTAAGACTTGTAATTAGCTCGAGAGGGTATGTGTGCGGACTTTTTTGACAAATTTTGTAGCCTACTTGTGTACGTTTGTGTACGGCAGCATCAAAGACATTTTTGATTGCTTTTAATTAAATTGAACTTACTAGAGAAGCATTCAACAAAAACTGTTGTCCAAGTGATAGCTCTAGACAAGAAATATATAGGCGGTAATTAAATGCATTTAGAAGCAATTTTCACAAAATATTTTTTGTCTGTGCAACTGCATATTTGTTTTCTTTTTGCAGAATTAAGTTACAACAAAATAATTGTTCAAATAAAAACTGCTTCATTAAAAGTCAAAAATTACCATTGGCATAAAGAACGTAAGCTAAATCAAATCAATTGAGGTCAACTTTTTATGAAATATTTCTCCCAAGCAAGAAACAATAGTAAAAGAGAAAAGATAGACGACAATATATATATATAGAGGCAGATTGCAAATCAAAAACACACTCACAAACACAAGCGAAGTAGAATGTAAATTTTGTTTGATTTTGTTTTCGCAATTAAGTGGGTCGAGAAGTATTTTTGGTCATTAAAGAATGAATGACAAGGAATGAGTAAGATTGCTAATGACAGAACAAAATTAGCTTCATTAGAAATTAAAAACATTGCAGATTTTTTTAAGAGCCCAATACCAATTACTGCAAGCAATTGAAATTCAAATACTCCTACATACAGTAACCTAACGCCCGCTCTGGATGCAAAATTCCGGAATCTGCTTGAGGAAATGTTCATCAATTGGACCACGCAGATGCAAGACATTGTGATGGAGCGTTCCGAGTGCCTGCCCATGAGCTTGGCGACAACAGCACCAATGACATGCACACAAGCACCCAAGCATCTACATCCTATTATGCTACCGGCTCAGGAAATAGCCTTTTGGACTAATCGCAAGCTCAACTTGCAAAACATCTACGAGCAGCTGCGCGCACCCACACATAAGACACTTGCTCACATACTTGAGCGCATCGAGTCCGTCTATCTCCAACCCTACTCTAAGGCCTTTTCCAAGCTCGTCGATGCTTGGATGGAAGCACAGGATATCTCGCTCTGGCTACAACCCCTCTTACGTCAGACGGCAGCCTTCAATTCGGTGCAGTTCAGCAACTCGCAGGAGCTAATAGTGCCGCTGGTGCACCTCATCCATCTAGTTTGGAGTAATGCCCGATACTACCGCAGCACCCAGAGGATGTGTGTCTTAGTGCGCAGCGTTTGTAACTTGTTGGTGCATCGTGCCGCCGAAGATCTGGAATTCCCAATGCTTTTTCAAGGCGATGCAGACGAAGGTTTGCAAAAAATCAATAAAACATGCGAAGTGCTGGAATTTTTCAAGTAAATGACTGCAATTGCTGACAAGCTCAGATTCAAGATTAATTACAAAGCATTCTTAATTAATATGCAGACAACGCATGCTCGAGTACAAAGAGCGCTACTCCAACAACCAAATAGTGCTGCCGTCCTTGCCTCATACAAGTTCAGCCACGCCACCAGCCGCCTCGGGCACACCTGACGATCTCCAGCAGCTCTGGCGCTTCTCCAGTGACGACGTGTTCGGTCAAACACTTGACGGCTTTCTCTCTCAACTGGCCGAGCTCCGTCAAGTTTTCGTAGCTGCTGTGCAGTTCCAAAGTCTAGAGAAGCTCGAAATTGGCGGACTGCGGGGGAAGCTGCTCACAGAGCGTGTTCGCGAGGTGAGATGTGTGTAGTTCATAAAAAATGAGCATCCACTTTAGGCTTATCCTTTTTCTCAGCAAATTAATCAATAATCAGTAGAAACTCCGGCTAATGCCAGAGGAGCTCAGATATAAATTAGTTCTGTTATTACATACTATATTTGGGAAGAGTAACTAAAACGTAACCGACTCACAGATGCTGCCATATAAGAAAGCAAATACGATATAACGCCTTCTTCTTGTTGTTAATTGTTAATTTAAGTTTACTTTGAATATTTAAATTCCGAATCTTTATCCATACAACCCTCACAGATATATGCCGAATTTAAGTTGCTCTTCGAGCAATGGTCTAACATTGAAATCGACTTAACAGCACCACCAGCTCCATCCGGTAGCGGTGGCACCCAACAGCATAAATGGAAGCGCTTTAAGCGTGAGCAGGCACTTTTCTTTGCTCGCATGGAACTGCTGGAGCAGAAGCTGTCCACTGTCCTGCAGCAGGCCTACGAACAGTGCCACAATTGGGCGCAGCTGCTGAAGCTGACGCTTATGTTTGGCACCATTCTGAGGCGGGCAGCCGTGCAACCGGAACTGACCCGAGTGCTACCGCACATGCTTCACATTTACGATTCAGAGCTACAGCAGTTGGAGCTGAGTGTAGCTGATGTGCTGATGGCCTACGAGTTTCATGGCCTGGCTGCACTGCCCACACTCTGGAACTTTCCGCCTATTGCCGGGGCTATGATGTGGATTGAGCAACATATGCGCTGCTGTGATGAATTTGGTGACCCCGAGCTAAATTCCTACATAGCCAGGCTGTAAGTCATTGTTATTTGACAAATTTCATGAATCTAACATGAGGTTTAATTTCAGATTAGCTGAAAAATCAACGCCAGACACACTGCCCGAGAAATGGCAACAGCTACGGGCACGTCGCAATATTTTGACCACAAAATTAAGCACCCTACAGTTGAAGATCTGGCATAATTGGCAGCAGACGATAGAAAAGCTCATAGCACAGGGTCTGCAGCAGCCGGTTTTGATGCAGCTAGCAGAAGACTATCATTTGCAGTTGAACTTTTCGCATGCCCTCTTCACTCTACTCAGGGAAACCAAATATTTGCTGGCTATGCAGGGCATTGGTAGCTTGACGGGTACACTCTTTCAACTTTCTCCCACTCTGCTATCCCTCTATGCGGAGCGCGATGCCTATTGGCAGCGCCGCATCAAGCTTATCAAAATTGGTGAGTACTACAATGGCATTCGTTCTGGCGAATGTGCCGCGGCCGAGCTGCAGCTGATTGCTAGCGAGTTGAAGGACATTGATGGGCGCGTCTGCGTCGCTTGTGAACAGCTGACATGGCATAGCTATGGTAAGTGACAGTTGGACTGCGTACAAAAACAAATAATAGCATTCATGGGCGTAGCGAAAAGAGATAGTCGGGCAGCTATTTTTTATAACTTCCTCGATCCTTTCGAACTTTTTAATCAGGAATAACCATTGAAGCAATGGTGTTTACTAAGATCCTTTTGTTTGAAACTTTCCAATAGCATGACTACAGACTATGATTACTTTATACATTAAAGTATATATAAATAATTGCAGAAAGAAGGTGATGAAATGGGTGGCATAATCTCGACAACTACTTGCTACTGCTAACAAAATTTCACCCTAATCATAATGTTACAAATGAGCTTTTTCAATTCTCTCCAGACGAGTTGCTCATTGCTGAGATATACGATAAGTCCCGCGAGCTCTTCGTGCGTATGCAACAATCGCATGAGAACTTGGAGACAATTTTGTCCAGCATTCGTCGTTGGAGTCGCGAACCGTTGCATCAGCGCAGTCTGTACGGCCGGAATATGCTGGATCTGCGCCACCAACAGGAGAGAGTGCGTCTGCGGCTCCTCCAATGCGATGAGACGAAGGTTTTATTAAACCGTCTCCTGATTGCCAACTTCTGTTTGTTCTTCAACTACGAGACACAGCAATTTCAAGTCTATTCCCGAGATCTTAGCGTTCAGGAGGTAAGCAAACACACTCAATTGCCTATATCAGATTTAGACGAGTACACTTTTTGCTTACTCTTGCAGTTTTTGCGAGAATTTCCAGATGAACAGCGGCGGCAATACAATAAATATTTGGCTAGTGTTGATGAGCTGATTTGCCGGGAAGTGCGGGAGGCGATGAGAATCAGGTTTAGCAAGCAGTATTTAGCCAACACGTTCGAATAAGAGATCAAACAGCATTTTCATCATCGTCATTCCTCTCTCAGCTTCCCATCATTATATTTAACATCTGCATAGTCATGCTTGGCACCATTTTTTCAATGGCACGTGCACATTTGCAAGAATACAAATGTCTAAGAAAAACCCACAGCGCTAATCATTTGCACCTGTTTGGTCATAAAGTGGGGCAAACGCATAACTTAGCGAGCACTCAAGCATATCCCTTTGGAATTGTTAAGCAGTGTACACGCAAACATACCCGATACAGAAACAGATAAAGAAACAGAAACAGACTGAAAAACTCTAAGTGGGTTGGCATATGGGGCGGCCCCACAACTTCATTACATTTTGGCAGGGCCTTTCATGTCTCATCAAAACTAATCAAGTAAATGAAAACGTATAAATTGCACGCTCATACACACCAACATACAACCGCAAAACGAAAGACACCTCTACCTGAGGCAACAGCCATAACAACAACAACAACAGCAACAACAGAAATTACAACAACTTTTCACCAGCGCATTCATGCGTCAATTGCATGTTTCACTTAACGGCACTTTTCGTGATTGCATGCAGGCAACGAACGATCCCACGAAACGCAAACGAAATAAACGCAAAATAAATTCAACACTAAATTTAATTTTCACATTACTCATACGACGTGTAATTCAGTTTAGAGTATTTGTACAAAGAAATGACAGCAAAAGCAACAAAAGCGGCAGCTTTAGAACGAGCAGAAGCAGCAACGAATGTGAAAGCAGCCGCAACTTCAACGACAACGCCCACAATGACGCCCTTGCCAAGCATGGCACGGTTAGTGCAACAACAAATCACAGCACAAACAATAACAACAACTACTATGGCACCGGTATTGCCAATAACAACACCGACAGCAACAGCAGCAACAACAACAACAGCAGTAGGCAATGGTGCGCTCTTTGAAGTAAAAGTGGAGCTGACGGAAGCGGAAATACGTTTTTCACCAGCCTTTGACGAAAGTGTGGAATATAATTTTCAACAAATTGTCGAGCAGCTGTTGCTGGATATAAAACAGACATGCGACTGCATGCCAAGAATTGTGGCTGACAATGCGCTGTCAGAGTGCGAAGACGACGAGGAGGACGCCGCCGACAACGACGATGATAACGAACTGCAACAGCAGCAGAAAAGCAGGCAATGGGGCAAGGAGAAAATACCATTCATGCACCTTAACGCGGCCTTGCCAGGCAACTTGTTGGCAACCGCCAAAGCATACGGAGAAAAAATGGAATGTGCAACGAGCACAAAAGGTAAGCGATATGCAAAAAAGAACAAGAAGAACCGAATTTTTTCATTTAGTTCTCCAACTCCACTCCACTCTCGTCCCTCCTCTATTCATTTAAGCCGATGACTTGGATATGCTGCGTTCTGCCATACGCAATGCCATGGCTGACACGATGCAGAAGGCTCTAGCCTATGCTGCCAAATTCAACGCCTATGCATTCCTTTGGACACAACAGGCTGGTGATGTGCTAGGCGCCTGCATGCAACGAGCGTGGGACGAACAGGCGGCAGCCGGTGGCTGTGGCTATGCCATCATGGAGGCGTTCAAAAAGGAGGTAAGCAGGATTTGCGAAACGATTCGAAACGAAAACATGCAGAGTACACTTAGGCCCAACGTGCCTCCCAAAGCACAAAAGCGCACACTGGGCAATCACACGCAGAAGTGCTCACACACCCACACACAGGCAGACTCATGTACGCCCTCGCCCAGACGCGACGGGTCGGTCAATTGGCAACCACACAATTTACGTAGTGTAACCCCTGAGACCAATAACGCTTGATAAATGTCGACCATTTAGGGTCAAATGTGTGGCCAGCAGTTGCTGCCAATGCCATCACCAGCGGCGCCGTTTCTACATTTCAAGTTGGTCAAAATCTGTAGACAAAATTTTGCTAAACCACACACACGACTGACGCATGCAGGCACAACCAAAACGCTGGCGTATGCGTAATATTTTCTTTAAACAATTATCAAACGCCCCGAAAAGTATGCAATAAATAACACTAAGGCGTTTCTCACACACATAAAACGGCACAGCAGACAAACAAATAAGCAAACAACAACAGCAGCAGCAAAAGCAACAACAAATCATGGTCAAATCCAAAGATGCGTGCGTGAGTTGTCACGGTAATCAAATCGTTTAAAATACGTTACACTTGTAGATAAGTACCTACAGACGATGTTTTTAGCCAACAATTTTGCAATCAATTTTTTTATACAATTTTTGTTTATTTATTAATTTTTTATGTATATTAGTATATTATTATAACGCGACAGTTTTGGAATTTTTTATTCGTGAAACCACTCATACTTAATTTTTGAAACTGCAAGTAATTTTTTAAGCCATGCTGTATGCGATGATGGCAGCGACGTGATTAGAACTGAGCCATATCTTCAAACGAACGAGCTATGGGCCTATATGCCAGGCCCCCAAAAACTGATTATTGAGGATTACATTTTTTTATGGAAGCCAAAACGACCTTTCCAACGAGATATATATTGTATGTCAACTCCCTACATGAAGTGATATGATTACAGAGTTCGATTGTCGTTTGTGCTTGGAGTGGAAACAAATGAATAAGTAGATTTTTTAAAAAGACATTTAAATACAAGTAGTCATAGCTTCATTATGGTAAACGGATTTTAATCTGAAAACATAATCTGCAGATACTGAATAGACTTGAAAGTTAACTGTAATGTTAGTGTAGGTATATGGTGGTGCTTTTCCTACTAGACTGACTGTTAACAAATGAATACCAAAAACGAAATTCCAAAGTTAAGCTGTTGGGTTAAATTTGCCTAAAGCTTTAAACAATATAAGGGACAACTGAAACAGTTTTCAGACTTACTTGAAAAAAATTAGCTGGACAATAAATTTCCTTCAGATCATGTTCACATTTCTTAAATAATTAGTGACCGACATATAGATATTATTATTATATTGGTTTCTTGTTCACGAATACTCGTATCTATTGGTTTGAATTCAAGGTATACACTTTTGGTATTACTCCAAAATGTAAGTCAATGCTTAATCACAAACTCATCACGCATTCTGCTTTTCCTGCTCTAGGCATGCATAGAGCACAGGGTTTGGGTGCGTTCAAATAAAATAAGAAAATCACTGGCCAGCATTTTATTTATGAGTGGCCATTGAGGCGACTCTGGCGCAGCTGGTGCGCTTAATAAAAGCAAAAAGCTGTGTATAGCCCATCTCACAAGAAAGCACATCTATAAAAATGGCACACTCTTAGACGGCCCACATGTGTGTTTGCACAAAATTAGCATATAAATTTAGTTAGGTTTGCCCAAATGAAGTTGTCAACACCCCGCCACAGATTGAGCGCTACAATGAGCTGCACGACACCATTGATCAGCACGAAATACGGCATTGTATAAATGGTTGGTTAGCATTGGACCTCAAGCCCCTGAAATATGCGCTGCTAAATCTTAGCTGCAAGTGGTCTCATCTCTACAAGCAAATGATGCTAAACTATGTGAAGCAAACATTGCAGGTACCTGTATACCCAATTAAGTGATATCAAAATCGGTATAATACGAAGCTCTTTAAAGGAACTGAATGCATTCATTGCTCGCGGCCACGAGACTCTGCAGTTACATATTCCGCGCCAGGACTTTCATGCACTGTTGCGTGTCCTTGCAATCATAGCCCAGATTCGAAAGTGCGAGCCCTATGCGGACAATATCTTCAAACCACTCAAGGACATTACCACACTTCTGAAGACCTACAACGTGGAGTTCGAGGCTCAGCTGTTGCGCAGCATTGAGCAGCTGCCTCTCCAGTGGAAGCACCTGAAGGACCAAGGCCTGGCCAAGCAGGAAGCGCTGCAGGAAACGCGTTTCCATCAGCAACAGCGCGTGTCCGCTCTCATAGCTCTGCACTCCTGCCATCTACAACACTATTCAAGGCAGCTCGAACGCATGCCGGTGAGTGGCCAACGGTCCCAAGCGAAGAACGAGATGAACTTAATCGATTTTGATGCCGGCAATTCCAGTTTTTCAACATACCCTGCCCTCAAGTGTATGATTATTGCGATGCAGTCTATAAGCGTCTGCATGTGTTCAGAATCGAACAGCGTCGTTATACGCGTTGGGCCCAGCTGCTGGACATTGCCAAACCCGAAGCAGCTACATTGCTCTATTGTGACACCGTTCTTAAGCGCGTTAAGGTGAGGTAGAATGGAAGGAAGATCGAAGCTATAATACCCTTAGAAAATAGAATTTATTAACCTTTAACCAAACCCCAAACACTGGAAGGGTATGTTTTGTTTAAAATATACACTTTGGCGAAATAATCGTCTAGTTCCACAACTTCAGATACTAGAGAGAAACTGAATTGCTTAATTTATTAAATATACAGGTATAAAAATATATCGCAGCTCTGATTCTACAAATTAATTGATAAATATTTTAGCTAGAAAAGCGATCCCTTTGGCATTTTATTTCCAAAGAGCATAAGTAATTTTCCACATATTTTGGAATTTCGAACATAATCTAACTTTATTTATTTCTAAATGCTTACGGAAATTGTAATGAATATAAATTTAAATCTTGAGGGTAAGCAGAACTTAGAACAGGCGCTTATCTTTTTTCCGTCCTATCAAAAAAGCTTAGATGAGGGACCTTTTGTTAGGGTATGGTAAACCAATATCTTTGTTATGATGCAATGTCTGCCTTCCTACTGCTGACAGCAATTGTGGGACTTCGTACGCGTCATCGAGTCCTGCATTGTGGACTGGCATGCTACCCCTTGGCTGCACATCGATACGGATGACATGGAGCATGAGTGCAAGAAGTTTACACGTGATCTCCGCACACTGGACAAGTCCATCCGGGACTGGGCGCCCTACGTATACATTGTGGGTGTGTTGCGTGAGCTCGTGGCCTCGCTACGCGCCATTACCGAGCTCCAAAATCCAGCAATTACAGAACGACATTGGCTGGAGCTTATGCAGCTGACAAAGGTGAGCATAATGAGCAATCGATGCGGGAAGGTTTGCGATTGTGGGTTGTGTTGGGATGCATGATCAAGCGAGCGAACTATCTGACTGATTACTGGCATCCTGCAAGTGACGCTTCAGTGTATGCCTTTCCAAATGCTTGCATTGCACAACAATGTGTCATACACAGGCACACACACAGATACCAAGGCACAAGTGTATATATGTGTGTGTGTGTGCACATGTCAAACTCTACACAATGGCGAACATTTGACAAACACATTAGCAGCTGACGTTCGGCAAGCGGGCATTCAGCACACCCCATTGACAGACGGCCGCAGACAAATGCTTGTTGGACGTGAAACTAAACGAATTTACCATTTACTCAATTCACAGCTCAGTCAGCAGCATCCTATGGAACAGCTAGTAAGTAAACGCAAACCGCAAATATTGTACAGTCAATATTTCCCATGGCAATCTGGTTAAAACCACCAAATACTGGACTGATTTAAAAACAGCATACTCGTTCGAGTTTGTTAATTCAGTAGCGATAATAGCCTCAAATAGAATGGAAGATTTAGGAAGTTTAAGTGTATTTCCGCCTCTTTTCCTCATCTTACATCTTCAGCTCTGATTACCGTAAATTCTTAACCAATTTTGTATAAACTTTCAATAGAAACATACAGATGTATACTACATTCTATATACATGTGTGAACTCTTACATATGTTCCACAAAGTGCTATTGTTATTATCAATGCAGAACTCAAATCTGACGAAGCTTTATATAGATATGCCTTTAAGCTTCGTTGCAACATTTGCAGATTAGGAACAACAATAGAAATTGTTAAATAATCATAATGACTAGTGCTTACAATACCAAACATAACCGTATTTATACACTCAAAAAACGAATGATGTAGATTTAGGTAAGAAAATCCATCTTTAATTGGAAAAGCTTTCAAAGTGTTTAATTTTTGTTAATACTTGTATTTCTCTTAAATCAAAATGAATCAAAATCAATTTTAGAAAATTAATGCATTTTTAAAGTTTTGACTGTGAAATAATAAGTTGGATCTAGAAGATCAATTTCTTAAAAGCATTTCTTAATTCAAATAAGAGTGAAAAATTCGTAACTATTCTAGTGCTTTTGTTTTCATTTTTTTTGTGTTTTTTTTTTGCGCATTCTTCATACATACTTATTAAGATGATTATTTATTTATTTCATCGACAAACAATGCAGTCGATGTAAAAGAAAAAAGAAAACAACAAAAAAAAACAATACAATAGAGAACTTAAACTAAATAAAACGAAATAAATAAAAAAAAACCCTTAGAAATGAAATAGGTATTTAGTAGTTTTCTTCTCATGATATATGAAATTTAATACCTGTATAGAACTACTATAAAAGAAAAATTCGCTTTCTATACTTTTAAAACGAACAGCAAAAAATAAAGCTTGGAAAATTACAATACCACTTATATATTAACTTCTATCGTGAATGACAGTTTACAGAAATTAGAACATACATTGATTTTTAGATATTTTTCACTAATTTGTAATTTCCCTTGTTTGTAGAAAAACGATTTTCTTTATTTTTTTGATTTGAAGATGTCCACGTGCTTTTTTTCTGTGTGTGTAAGCTGCAAAATGTCTACGCCTGCCACATTGAATGGTTAAACAAGCCATATAAGTTTAGTAATTTAATTGGTTCATTAAAATTCAACAAAAGGAAGGTAGAGGAAGCCTGAGTATGATATGTGCTTACTGTTGAGGCAGCAGCTGCCATTGTTTCTACTCTTACCGCCATTTAATGGGCTCAGCGCATCTTAATAGTGGAAACTGTATAGTTCTAGCTGTCTGGTAGACGTTAGGGAAAAGTCTAAACCAATGCTGAAATGCATCAGTTTGCTGCATAATTTTGATAATTTCCACAAGGCGGCCAATTTCACTGTAATTGAAACGGGCAGCATACTACACAGATAGCTATTAGGCATACGTCATGTTTGGCTTTCAAAATGAGGAGGCAGCAACAGCAACAACAACAGCAACATTAACAATAGCAAAAGCAAAAACACAACCATACGGCCTGCTGTATGGAAATTGAATATTCTCCGACAATTCGTCCGACACTTGGCAGCACATTTTGTGAAATTAATTAACACATTAATGATACAGACGAGTCGACGAGCTGACAGGGCAGGGCAATTTAATGGTTTCCTCTTCAAATGTGCAATTAAATAATTCCATTTTCGGCTCTTGCTATACTCGTATGTTTGTACGCAGACAGAACAATAGTTTATGTGCATACGTGAGCAACGACGGCGACGACATTTGAATGCAAAGCTTACACGAATCAAATTTTATGGCTAGACAATGCAATTTAATTAACATGAAGCCAAACAAGCTGTCCAACCATTATGCTCGTAGTAGAAAGAGGTTGGCAGGGTAATGAAATCATTATACAATAGCAATATTAATACTAAGCCCCACCCTTCCATTCCATAGGTCTCCTATAAGAGCAACAAATCCACTACGCTGGCAGAGCTGCTCAAATTGCAACTGCAACAGCACGAGGAGGACATAAAGAACACTGTTGATCGCGCAATTAAGGAGGCGACCGTGACGAAAGTTCTGGACGAGATTAAGGCTACATGGGCGCACTTGGAATTCGAGCTGGAAAACCATCAAACACGTCCACACATTCAGCTGCTTAAGGTGTCCGAGGAGCTCATCGAGACTCTTGACGATAATCAAATGCAGCTGCAGAACATTTCCACATCGAAGCACATTGAGTATCTGCTCGACAAACTGTCGTACTGGCAACGGGTTCTCAGTGGCATTGACACCGTTATTGGGAATTGGTTTGAGGTGCAACGTAAATGGATTTATCTTGAGTGCATATTCATAGGGTCAGCGGACATACGCGCCCAGCTGCCCACAGATGCGGCTAATTTTGAAGGTATAGACAAAGACTTTACGAACTTATTGGGCCGAGTGGCCAAGGTGCGGGTGGTGATGCAAGTGGTGTTGCAACATGACGATGTACTCGGCCAGCTTTTGCAGTTGCAACAGCGATTGGCCGTGTGTGAGAAAGCGCTGAATGATTATCTGGAGACGAAACGTTTGGCTTTTCCACGCTTCTATTTCATTTCGTCTGCCGATTTGCTTGACATACTCTCCAACGGCAACAATCCTCAGATCATTGACAGGCATCTGATCAAACTGTTTGATTCGATTTTGCGTCTGGAGTATGAGACGAACACCACGCGTGCTCTCGGCATGCACTCAAAGGAGAACGATGAGTATGTTCGATTTGTGCCAGCTGCAGGTGAGGATCGACAATCTGCCTACATCGAGTGCAGCGGACGTGTGGAGCTCTGGCTACGTGCGATCATCCAACAAATGCGCAGCACTCTGCACGAGCTGTTTCGCCGAGCCTTACATGCGTTCACAGATAAATCGCGAGATCTCTGGCTGTACGATTGGCCAGCACAAGTGGCCCTCTGTTGCAGTCAGATAAGCTGGACGGCGGATGTGAACCGCGCTTTTGCCTTGATGGAGGAGGGATACGAGGGCGCCATGAAAGAGTTGCATAAACGACAAATAGCGCAGCTTAATGCACTCATAAATTTGCTTCTAGGCGAGCTATCGCCCGGTGACCGCCAAAAGATAATGACTATCTGCACTATTGATGTGCATTCCCGAGATGTTATTGGTAAGATTATAGCGTCCAAGGTGGACAATTCTTTGGCCTTTCAGTGGCAAAGTCAATTGCGCCATCGCTGGGACGATGACCAGATGGGCAGCTCTAGTGGCGCTCAAAGTGGTGGTGGTGGTGTCGGTGGTGCTGGAAGCGGCGAGGAGGATTGCTTTGCCAACATATGCGATGCCGAGTTTCGATATGCCTATGAGTATCTAGGGAATACATCGCGTCTGGTCATTACTCCGCTGACAGACCGCTGCTACATAACTTTAACGCAGGTAAACGGAGCAAAAAGCGTGTCGATTTGCAGGCTTGAAGGCTTCTTATTTTAAAAAGATTTTAACTTTAAAATGATGCCATAAAATGTTTACAATTTACAAGTGCATGAATTTTATTTATTTTTTCTTATTGGAAGCATTGACATTGAAATTATGAGGTGGAAGAGGGGGAGGAGCATCAAAAATATGAAATAAGCACGAGTAGGCTATGGACTATGAGAGTTTACATAATAACTTTTGTTGCTGTAGATCATAACCACTACCATAATTCAGGAGTTCCCCAAAACAGACGAGCAGCCGAACATCGACTCATCTCATTATTTACTATTTCAAATTTAATTTCAAATGATTCAAAACACTATACGGCTGGAACTTCTATCTTGTTTGTAAATACATTTTTTTTAATAGGAAGAACAATAAAATGCCAGTCATGTTGGGCGAATTTTAAAAAGACTTCATTGATAAATATACTATACTTCCACTTGGATGCAGGATAACAAGCAAAATTATTTATTATTATTTTTGTTATTTATTATTATATTTATTATTTGAATGCATTTTTCAATATTATCTTATTTCCATTACATTGCTTAACTCTACCACGAGATAACCATTTTCCATAAATAAAGTTTACCATTTTTCAACGCTGTTTTATAAAAAATAATATAAAATGTAAACCATTTATCAAGAATACTTCTGACTTTGGAGGTCATCTGGTGTATATGGCCTTCTCCTATATCACATCCTCAGACAATTCTTTAGTGAGATAATTCAACTGTCCGTTACATTATGCTTCTTGCAACTACTCACAATTTAAATAATTAAAGGACCTGGCTTACGGCTAAATCGTACATGCGTTAATTATTCAAAGGACCGGAAATTCAATAAAAAAAATCACTTCTACGCTTTTACGTGCAATTATGGCCGCCTCCTTGGGGGTCCCACTCTAAATATGAAATGTAATATTAAATGCAACTTTAATTTTCGCACTGAAGACATTGTTATGTAAGCAAAGAGGGACCTTCGCCCCCGACTTGTGGTTCTTGCATAAATTCGTGCGCTGCCTGTAAATTAAACAACTCGTTAGGGCAAAAATAATGCCGCTTGTAATTTACATATGCACTCAACCACTTCTCCACTCCTACACCTACTAGTCGCTGCATCTATCACTGGGAGGTGCCCCCTCAGGGCCGGCTGGCACTGGGAAAACGGAAACTACTAAGGATCTGGGCCGCGCACTGGGCGTAATGGTTTATGTCTTCAACTGCTCGGAGCAAATGGACTACAAATCTTGTGGAAACATTTACAAAGGACTGGCCCAAACGGGTGCATGGGGCTGCTTTGACGAGTTCAATCGCATCTGTGTCGAGGTGCTGTCGGTGGTCGCTGTTCAGGTGAAGACCATACAGGAGGCGATAAAGGTGAGCATGACGTTGACGGCAGGTTGCCGCTGCTTGCAAATTGATTTTACCGAGCTCCTCTTTGCTTCCATGTTGCACATTGATTACTTTTCTCGCATCGTCTGCCGTGTTTGCTGTTGTACCTCTGGCTTCTTCGTCCTTGTCGCCCGCGATGTCCGTGTTGTGGTCGCTGGCATTGGGGGGCTACTGTTTACAGATGCATAAAACCCAATTTATCTTTATGGGCGAGCGCATTTCGTTGGAGCCGTCGGTTGGCATTTTTATCACCATGAATCCGGGCTATGCCGGCCGAACGGAGCTGCCGGAGAACTTGAAAACATTGTTTCGTCCATGCGCCATGATTGTACCGGACTTTGCTTTGATTTGTGAGATTATGTTAATGGCCGAGGGCTTCCAGGAGGCACGTCTGCTGGCACGCAAATTTATCACACTGTACACTCTGTGCAAGGAGCTGCTCTCCAAACAGGATCACTACGACTGGGGCCTGAGAGCGATTAAGTCTGTGCTTGTGGTCGCGGGTACGCTGAAACGGGATGACCACAGCCGGCCAGAGGATCAGGTGCTAATGCGTGCCTTGCGTGACTTTAACATACCCAAGATAGTCACTGAGGATGTGCCCATATTTATGGGACTTATTGGGGACCTGTTTCCCGCACTGGATGTGCCACGTAAGCGTGTCTTCGAGTTCGAGAAGACAATCCGGCGAGCGGTAAATGAGATTAAGTTGCAGCCGGAGGAAAGCTTCCTCATGAAGGTGGTGCAACTGCAGGAGCTGCTGGATGTGCGTCATTCCGTGTTCATTGTGGGCAATGCCGGAACGGGCAAGACGAAAATTTGGCAAACACTGCGCGAAACTTATCGCATACAAAAGCTGAACCCAGTCTGTCATGTGCTCAATCCAAAGGCTCTGACCAGTGATGATCTTTTCGGCATTGTTAATCCGACAACACGTGAATGGAAAGATGGGCTCTTCTCATCCATAATGCGAGAGCAGGCTAATATGCCACCGGGCAATCCAAAGTGGATAGTTTTAGATGGTGACATCGATCCCATGTGGATAGAGAGCTTGAACACACTAATGGACGACAATAAGATACTGACTCTGGCGAGCAACGAACGGATCTCGCTGAAGCGTGAAATGCGATTACTATTCGAGGTGGGGCATCTGAAGGCGGCCACGCCTGCTACGGTCTCACGGGCGGGTATTTTATATATCAATCCACTTGATCTTGGTTGGTCCCCGTAAGTAAAAATTATTAATTTGTTGGCTATTCTTTCATTTGTATCTGTTTTTATAATAAATCCGTGTTACTTAAGGCAATCCTATTCAGCTCGCTTCGCACAAACTATTATATTTCTTCAATTCTTTTCCACAATTTCAAACTATTAAATGCTTATGTTTAAAACAGCCATAAGGAAAAAGGGAAGAGCACATTGTATGGTATAATCACCATGATTGTCGGCGTGTCTGTCTGTCCGTTCATCCATATGTGGCTCACAGGCTTTTGAATAAAAAATGTTAAAATTGAAAAGAATATATTTTAAGGGTGCCATATAATGCATGATGAACTAGATAGTAGAGACACTGTAGAGTACATGATAATGGCAGAATAAAAGGTGTATAGCTTCGTTGTGAATAACACATAATCATAACATAACTTCTGATCTCACCTTTCCATTTTCTAATAAATATTTGTTTATTCCTATTACTCTCAGCTACGTATCTTCGTGGCTGGAAACACGCGTCGATATTATCGAGCGCGGTATTTTGACCACATTATTTGAAAAGTACTTTCCAACCATCATAGTGCGTCATCGGGAGTTTCGCCGCATTACTCCCATTAGCGACATGGCCATGATACAGATGACTTGTCATCTGCTCGAGTGTCTTCTAGATACTGGCTGTGCCACCGATGCTCGTGGCGGACCTGGAGCTTCCAATCCGCACACTCTTCATCATGGAGAACGTTCTCATGAATCCGCTGAGCTAGCACTTGAGACTATATTTGTGTACGTCACTATGTGGAGCTTCGGCTCAGCACTGCATCAGGACCAGATTATTGATTGGCACCGCGAGTTCCATAAATGGTGGGTGGGCGAATTCAAGGACATTAAGTTGCCTGCTCAGGGCACCGTCTTTGACTATCAGCTTAATGTGCAGACACTGAAGTTTCAGCGCTGGTCTGAGTTAGCCGCGCTCGAACAAGTAGACAACATTGATCCGGAACTGCCACTTCAGGTGCGCCTGCCCAATAGTTACTGTTAAAGCGCATTTGGGAACTAAAGCATTCTTCTTCTCCTCAGAATGTTCTAATTTCAACTGCAGAAACCACACGCCTTGTCTATTTTCTCAAGCTGCTCATTGACCGAAATCTGGCCTGCATGCTGGTCGGCACTTCTGGCTGTGGCAAAGGTGCCATCTTTCGTGAGCTATTCAGCACATATGCCAGGGCACAGGAGCTGCTCGAAATCGCTGTGACACCTGTCAGCAACAATGCCGAAGCACCGAACTCAGTTGGCAACCAGTCGCCATCCCCCGCTGCTGTGCTACGCAAATCGTCCTCGCCTACGCCGCTTCTGACAACTGTGCAGACGACACACTTTAACTACTATACTACATCGGAGATATTCCAGAAAATGCTCGACCGTCCACTGGAGAAGAAGTCGGGGCGTTGCTATGCGCCTAGCGGCCCAAAGCGACGACTCATCTACTTTGTCAACGACCTGAACATGCCAGAGGTTGATGCCTATGGCACCGTGCAACCACACACTATTATGCGACAGTTCATGGACTACAGGCAGTGGTGAGTTGCGGAGAGGAAGGGACTGGGTTGCGAGGAAGTCAGTGAGGATGAAATGTTAATTACTTGTTCATAGGTACGATCGCCAGCGCCTGCAGCTAAAGGACATACACCACTGTCAGTTTGCGGCGTGCATGAATCCAACCGCTGGCTCCTTCACCATAGACCCCCGTCTACAGCGACACTTTTGCGTGTTCTCCGTGGCCCCGCCAGCCGAAGATACCCTACACTTTATCTATAGCAGCATATTAAGTAGTCATCTTGAGCATCCGGCTCAGGGATTTAGCAAAGAAATACGTTCTATGGGCAGTCTGTTGGTACGCGTGGGCATTGCTCTACATCGACGGGTAGAATATGCATTCCTACCCACAGCTTTGAAATTCCACTACGTTTTCAACTTGCGTGACCTTACCAACATTTATCAGGGTCTGATGAATAGTGCGGGTGCTCCGGTCTCGGCAGGCGCTGCTGCCAGCAACTATAGCGGGACCGTTTGCAGCAAGCCCGCCGAACTGATGCGTCTATATGTCCATGAGGCTTTTCGTGTTTACCACGATCGTTTGATGGATCAGTATGACATCAAGTCGTTTAAGTCGTCCATACGCGATATATTTAAGAAAGACTTTGAAGACTTTGATGAAGACTTTGTGTTTGCCGAGCCACTGATCTACAGCCACTTTGCTCAGTCGCTGGTTGATCAAAAATATATGCCGCTTAAGAACTGGGAAACACTCTATCAACTGCTTCTGGAGGCCCAGGCCAGTTACAATGAGGTTGTGGGTTATATGAATCTTGTGCTCTTCGAAGATGCCATGATACATGTGTGTCGGTAGGACATCTCCACCTAATAACTCTACAATTTGATAAATCTTTACATTTTTTCTCCACAGTATTAATCGCATTCTGGAAAATCCACGGGGGAATGCCCTGCTCATTGGCGTCGGGGGCTCGGGAAAACAAACACTGGCACGCCTTGCCGCTTTCATTTCTTCGCTGAGTGTTTCACAAATCCAAATTAAACGCGGATTTGGGCTGCTAGACATGAAGGAAGAAATAGCTGGCCTGTTTATGAAGGTGGGCCTGAAAAATGTCGCCTCAGTTTTCCTCATATCGGATGCGCAAATACCCGATGAGTCTATACTAATGCTCATCAATGATTTATTGGCTTCTGGTGAAATACCCGAGCTCTTTAATGACGATCAGCTAGACAGCATTGTCAATGGCATACGCAATGAGGTCAAGCAAAGCGGCACATTGGACACTAAGGAAAATTGCTGGCGTTTCTTTGTAGAGAAGGTGCGACGCCTTTTAAAAGTTGTGCTCTGCTTTTCGCCCGTTGGCCAAACGCTACGCGTACGAGCTCGTAAATTCCCAGCAATCATCAGTCGGACGGCCATCGATTGGTTCCATGAGTGGCCGAAAAGTGCACTAGAATCGGTCTCGCAAAAGTTTCTTACTGAAATCAGCGACATTTTTCCGGTTAGTATGTACAACATTTCACGATTTAAATAATAATAACAACAACTACAACTCTGTATCTGGCACCCTTTATCAACGCTTAGCTCACACTGATACCTCCCATTGGCTGCTTTATGGCCTTTGTACACGGCACTGTGAATCAGATATCGAAAATTTATCTTCAAAATGAAAAACGCTACAACTACACGACCCCCAAAACATTTCTCGAATATATTTTTCTCTACCGCAAACTGTTGGTGGACAAAACCGGTGAGTTTTCCCAACGCATTTCACGCCTCCAGAGCGGAATGGCAAAGTTGGCGGAGTGTGCTCGTCAGGTTGATATGCTGAAGGTGAGTTGGAGCCCAAACATAAATCGCATTAGCTCTGTACAGTAAATGCTGCAGATATAATAATATTATACGATCTTACTAAGGAAAACGATATATTTCCTTATGGCCTATAAACAACAAACAATTTATACTCGATTGGTTTCCGATTCGCCGGAATATTGCGCCGCATATTTTAGAAATACGAGGGATTATACATCAACAGGAACAATTGTCGGTAATATCAATGAACTAAATCCTAAATATGAAAAAAGGGAGCTTGTTTCTTGCCCTATTTTCAATGATTTTGCAATGCTCTTCAGAAATTTCTTAAAATACGGAATAAATTCGATTAAAAAACTATTAATAAACTTTCGGACTGAACTTGTAATTTAACTTTTAAGAACCAGCTTGTTCTGCCTGTCCAAATACAAATACCAGCGAGTGTCCAAAAGCAAATGAAATGCATGTGGCGGCGGCCAGTTCATGACATACAGACACTACTACATAAATATGTAGTACGAAGCACACAACGTGTTGACTTTGAGTGCGCCTTTTTTTTCTTGCGAACGACATGGCCGGCATTCAATTAGTGAGCTTAATTGAACTGTTGTTGCAGCAAATCTGCTGCACATTTCCCAACATGGTGTAGGCGAATAGGTAACACCATTCTTTGCTTTTTCAGAGCGCCGCTTCCGGTTTCCGGTGTCGCTCACACTTGTGGTACAGAAGCATTGCATACTTTTATGCGCTCAGCAAAATGTTCATTAAGCAGCGAAAGTAAAATTAAGTGAAACTACAATTAATTAATTAATTTAATTAATTTTAATTTAATTAATTTTCAAACAAACTCTTTCAGTTGCTTTTATCCTTTTTGTAGCCATTATTTCAAATTTTTAATTACGGTCTTAACCTTTGCTTCAACTTCAGCATCAATTGGCCATACAAGAAGTGCAACTGGCAGCGAAAAATGAAGCTGCTGACAAACTTATCGTCATTGTGGGTGCCGAGAGTGAAAAGGTCAAGCGTGAGCGTTCCATAGCCTCGGATGAAGAGTCACGTGTGCGCATCATTGAGGAGGATGTGTCCATCAAAACCAAAATGTGCGAAGAGGACCTACGACAGGCTGAGCCGGCGCTAGTAGCCGCACAGGCAGCACTCAATACGCTAAATAAAAATAATTTGACGGAGCTGAAATCCTTCGGTTCGCCACCCAAGGCCGTGATTAATGTGTGTGCCGCCGTTATGGTTCTGCTCGCCACCAATGGAAAAATTCCACGCGATCGCAGCTGGAAAGCGGCCAAATTGATGATGGTGCGCGTCGATCAGTTTCTGAACGATTTGACCAACTACGGCAAGGACAACATTCATCCGAACATAATTGAAACGCTGCAGGAGTACTTAAAAGTAAGCAATTAACTTTTTAGTATATAAAAAATATATCACTACCGTTTTCAGGATCCCGAATTCAATCCGGACAAGGTGGTGCAAAAATCTGTGGCAGCTGCCGGTCTTTGTGCCTGGGTTATCAATTTGTATCGGTATCATCAGGTATTTCTTATTGTAGGGCCCAAGCAGCAGGCTCTACAGGACTCTCAGCAAGAGCTGCTCGAAGCGCGTGAGCGTTTACAGTATCTTAAATCAAAAATCAATAATCTGGAGGCTAAGCTGGCCGACATTCAAGCTGAATTTGAGGAAGCCGTTGCTGAGAAGCAAAAATGCCAACGCGAAGCAGACAAAACTGCCTTTACCATCGATTTAGCCCATCGTCTGGTCAACGGGCTGGCCAACGAGAATGTCCGTTGGAGGGAGTCGGTGCAGAGGCAAGTCTACAACATTTATATTCCATCAATTATTAAATTTAATTTACATTTTCTGTAAGCGCGAAATCGCTTTAATTGCCCAGCCTCTTTTTTACACAGTTCTGTGCTCGCAGTTGAACGAACTAAGCCAGAATTTCGCACACTTGTGGGCGACCACACAACAAAAGGCCGTAAATTTTATTTACTTGCGCTCATTTGGCGCAGTGCGAGCCTTACACAAACAACTCTACAAAGCTGCCACCTTCCATTTTCCAATTGCACTCAAAAAAATGGGCATTAAGGCAAAAAAATTGCAAAATGTACACGAAATGCTAGTGTTTTTTTCTCTGGGTTGAAACATTGAATTAGACAAAAATGATATTTATAGTAAACGGCAAATCATTTCTATAAACTTATCAATACAACTTGTTGCATTTTCGGATTCTCATCACTTTTGAAATAATTTTTCCCAAATGTATTCTATAGAAGCATGCAAAAGCTAATTGGCTCTCTATATAGTACATGAACAGTTTGTAGACAACGTTTTAAACACATTAAACTTATTTTATTCAAGTCCCATTGTAGTAAATTTTCTCAGTGTGCGAATTGTATAAATGGCGCAATGTCGCAGCCAATGAACTACCAGCTATTTATTGCGACAGCAAATAATTAAGCAACGCTCCCTAGTGCGCGAGCTGTGCACTTTGAACTTTCACCAGCGGCACACACGGTACAGACAGAGAATAAAAAAACCGATGCTGTTCCGCTTTAAAGTGCAGCACACAGACAAAATATGCCAAACAGGCTCTGAAGAAGACTCGTCCCCAAGTGCCGACTAAGCTCATCAAGTGCGACATCAACTGCGACGTGTTGATACAGCTAACTTGGCCCGACTCGGGCAGGCAACAGCAGCAAGCTGCAGCCACAAAAACTTGCCATCGTCCGTGTGTTCGACGAGTTGTGAAGTGTAAGGTGTGAGCTGTGGGTCGAAGCATGAAGCATGAAAATTGCAACATTGTGTGGCGCCGGCGCTGTTAGCGTGCAAGTGTCGCCTAACAAGCCAAAAATTGCAGTTGACAAGTGCGAAAGTTGCCAAAACACTTTGAAACAGAATAGCAGATAACAGCAACCACAGAAACAAACAAAAAAAGGAAGAAATGCTAAAGTCGAGCAGGCTCAACTCTTAAATACCCTGTACCACACCACAAAAAAAATGTATTTAATTTAATTAATTAATTAAATTAAATATAAAATATTCCATACATGCATACATACTTGTACATTTAAATTTACATCAGAATCGTGTCTATGCGTATTTGTGTACTTGTACATATGTATGTATGTGTGCATTACATAATTATGTGAAAGCAGCAACAAATACAACTGCGGACCGAGCTTGGTCTTGGTTATATACTATAACTTTCTTTCTAATCAATCTATCTTAATAAAACTTGGGACACGGATATATAATTAACTGGATGTTACTACCACATTTTAGTTGGAAATTCCAAGAATAACGGGAGTTATAGTTTTTAAGTTTGGTTATTCCAGCTCTTGTACTTTCTGATATCCTTGCGTTCGAACTGACAGACAGGCGGACATGGCTATATCGACTCGGCTAGTCATGCTGATCAAGAATATATATACTTTGTGGGGTCTGCCACGCCTCCTTCTGTGTGTTACATGTACACTCGCACAAAACTAATATACCCTTTTACCCTTTGGGTACAGGGTATAAAAATAACAAACAGCGATTCTGATGATAACAAAAAAGCTTAAGCGCTTTTTCGTCTACTTCCAAGTAGGGAAAAGTAATTGTGAAAAAATTCCGCTGCATACTTTTAGGCTGTTGTTATAAATAACAATAACTTTTTGATAAAACATTTCATTTCACTTAAAATTTTACCTTTAGTTGTTATTTAAGTGACTTGATATGATATGCCTCCTGTGATTCAGATATGCCAATTAATTTCTTCTCTTATTATGAATTACTAGCAGGTCTTGCCCGTCTTTGCTGGGCTAAGTAAAATGTGCTTATAATTATAAGTTTATTTACTATATGCTATTCTTCTTTCGACGTTCTCTAAAGTTTTTTAAAGAGTTTATATTCGAAATAGCAAATATAGTACAATAAGTACTATATATGGTTATACATATGTACATACATATCTTCGTTACGCACCGGGCGGAATGCCAGTCCTGACTTAACTGTGTACTTCCTCAGCACGTTGTACGCACGATCGAGTTATCCCCGAAAAGTCCAACGCGGGACATTAAATTTTTAATTATCAGGACGTCCCGCCAAAATTGAGCGTTCGGCAACGCTGATATGTACATACATTCATACATAATTTTTTCATGCAGGCTTTTTCCGCCTATATACATACATATATAAGTATGTATTAAATTTTTTAATTCAACATTAATTTGTGTCTTCAATTCCAAATATTATTGTAAAAGGCGTGTTTCTGCTTTCGTAAATCGCATGAATACACTCACAAAATAGGCTTAACAGGCTAAATGGCTCTTAGATTTGTTCAGAATACATTTGTAGCGTTGTTAGCTAACAATGCGATCAGCTGAGATGCTAGAGATGGGAATGTGTCGGATGCTCTATGTACTAGAGCATCGTTGAATCCGTCGATACAATCAATAATTCCATTGAAGTTTGAATGCAATTAACAGAAAATTTAAATAATAACATCTTATAATTTATTGAGATCAATTACAACAAATCATATACAAACATACATACAACATACATACTTTTGGCATTTTGCCTTTTAAATTAACAGGCGTAAATGATCAAAACGAAAGAAGAAGCGCGAGCCAATGACTTGCAGTTGTTGTTGTTTTTCGTTTTAAAAATTTGATTTAAAACCATAGAACATTATTTATTACAATCAAACAACAGTGCTCGACTGTCCAATGTATACATACATACATACATACATACATACATGCATGCATACATACATACATACATACATACATGCCAAATGTACTAAACAAAGAAAAAATTACTTTTAAAAATGTTAAAGAATTTTTAATTAATTAACATTTCCTGCTCTGTCAGTGCAAGACGAATGAACATACATACATACATAGATGTGTACATATTTTGAAAATCCTTGAACGCAAAGTTGTAGATTTAGTTACGTAGATTACAGTTCTTGTCAGAATTTAAAATTTTTCTGCCAAAGCCAGTGCTAATAAGTTTAAACAAAATATCCGGAAACTTAATATTTTATTTTTGGTTAGTTACTGCTGGCTTTCCCCGGATAGTGTCAGACATTTTGTTATCTAAAAAAATTCCCTTTGTGTAATAAGTATCTTATTCAAACATTTACACAGCTGAGCTAATATTCTGCCATCGATGTGTGACAATTTCTAACGAAGTTGGAAAGGAGAAAAATATTTCAATAATATTTCATTTAGTTACTTGAGCTTTGTCGCTATCCAAAATGTGAGGGCAATGTCTGATATCAAGTGACCAGCAGCTAACGCTAAGAAATTTTTTTTTTTCGATAAAAAAAAGAACGTTTTCAGTAGGAGTTTATGATAAGCACTTCACCCGCATCAGAACGTTATGTTGCATTAAGCACCATTATTTTATCTGCGTCGCAAGTCAATTATATTGCTTGGAATCTGGAATCAAGCTACTAGCGCCAAGAAACTTGTCATTGTATGTTCGCTCTGTGTCTAATTGCTATTATTTAAATTTCGCATTCAAACTTTGCAAAATCGTTTCTTTTGTCCTTAATAGTTTTTATTACGATTATATTCTGTGTTCAATTGGGGTATTTGTAAATTTGTTCAATGCCACGTTTAATGTAATCAGTGCAGGATAGTTGCAAAGCAAGTATTCGTAAAAATACAAACGAATTGAATTAATATAACTGTCAATGGCATTTCATTGAATGAGTTGCCCCTAGACACTTTTGACTTATGTATGTTCATCAAACGAGTATTTCTTGCGATATTCAAAAACACCTGTGCATTTCAATTCAATTGAATGCACGTGCCAAGCTGAAAAATCCACAGCATGGTAAATTTTTCGCACCTAAATAACTGAAAAATCCACACACAGCCAAGCCAACCAGACCAACATCCGACCAACTAGTCAGGCATTCAGCCACTGAGGCACTTTGGGGGCCAACGTCAGCAGCTAAAGCGAAAGGGAACGCATGAACATAAATGAATATGAAAAACGTATTGAATTATGAAAAATGAAAAATGTCGGACTGTATGTGCCAACTGGCAGACGCAACTATATCTGTTGTTGCTGGTTGGGTGTGTGTGTGTGTGTGTGTGTGATTCCTACAATGTGCTGCCAAAGGAGCAACAGCCAAGCAGGACGTTAGGGAGGAGCAACAAATGCAGCATCGAAACTCTTTTCAGATATTTATGAAAATATAATTTGCGCACAACAACAGCAGCGTACACAGAAGTGTATGATTGTGGTAGACATATATGTGTGTATGTGTGTGTGTACTCGCATGTATATGGCTATGTGTGTGATATGACTTGCATATAAATTTATATTTGGCCATGGCATTATATGCCAACATTTACGCACTCATGTCTATGCAATATTTGTATATTTTGCGCAAGTCTTGTGCGTGGGTGGGGTTGTTGGTTGTGTGTGTGGGTGTGGGTTAGTGTGTGCGAGCTGTTGTTGTTTCAATATGTAGTTGCAGTGAAGCTGCTGTTTTGAAAAATGTGTCCGTATTGCTCGAGAGAATGCTCTTATGCCACTTGACAGGTATTTTCCCACATTTAACAGCATATTTCTTCAAAAACAATTATTACACATTTAATAACACGTGTCACACACACACACACACACATAAGCACGTGCAGGAACCCACATTGAGGCACAATTGCGGCTTTTATATCATGCTGCTGCAATTTTGGTGATTTTGGTATTTGTTGCTTGTGTTGTTGTTGTTGTTTTGTTCTGGTTGTGGCTGGTGTTGAGCTTGGCTTATTCAATTAAGCACAGGTGCTCAGCTCCTACAAACATTTGTTTGAATATAGAAATATAGAAATTCATATAAATGTTCTGGCATAAATCATGCGACATTTAAGCGTAAGCTACTATATATATGAAAAATTCAACATGCAAAATAATTGGCAAAGTGTCGACGGATGGACAAGTTCGTTGCTCTTTCAGTTTTGAGATTTTTTCGTGAGTTGACTTCTCTGCCCCTTTCTTATGCAGAATATACTGATAATTGTTTTTGGTGTGTAAGTTTGTTACACCCATGAAGAAGCGTCACAGACTATGTACACCTCATAAGGTGCGCCAAATAATTACACTACGTTCCATAGTATAACAACTGAACCGTTCAACATATTTTAACAAAAACTTAATTAAAACTTAATAATATTATCTATAGACTTCAAGTGAAATAAAGCAAATAAAACTTAAGAAAATATAATTAAAAAATTTAACAAAATATTTTCGAACGAAACAATTAACTAGAACATATTCATTGTTTATATTTTAAACCTAAAAAAAAGGAAAAAGAAAAGAATTTTAAACGATGAATATATTTGAAATGGAACACCCTTCGTTAGCAATATCGACACATCTGTACTGATCAGAAAAAATATTATTTCACGCCACAAAGAAACATTCTTAAAAACCTGATCCTCTCATGGCGTCTTTAAGATATTTTATAATACGTATATTTTATAAAATATCTACACTTCGGTTGATATATATATAATAGATAGATATAATATATGAATTGTGGCCCATTTTGATAAATTATCTGCTTGCTGGTGGAATAAGTTGAAATGCATCAGTACGATAAGACTAATCAATTGATTTGCAAGCAGATGGATTGATTCGTCGTATCATACTGATATATTTACATACAAGTACAAGTATAATATTGGTTCTTTGACGGTTCCTTTCCTGTCCCGCACAAATATTAGAGCAAACGCAATGCACTCTGTGCGAGAATAAAATAAGTTAATTGGTCTTGTAATTGGTTGTAATACGCGTTTCCAGCTTGGCAATTTAACATGGTTCCCCTTATCAAGTCCGTGCCAAAAGCAGACATCCTGCCAATGCACTTATCCAAAGCTGGAGCAGCAGCTGCCACTGCTCCTTCACCTCCTTTCCAGCGAAGTCACTGTCGGTGCTTATTATAAGCTCAAATATTTCAATAATAGTTGGCATGCAGCAGTTTCTAATAATCTATACAAGTGGCTGTTTCTGTGCGATGAAGAGCTCAAAAACACAAGCTGTTGTTGTTGTTGTTGCTGCTGTTCTTGCTGTCAAGCCTTCGGATGCTGCTGATGCTGGAGATGCCGCATCGTCATCAGCAATGGCAACAACATCATCGCCGACATCATTATTTTTTCAATTTCCCGTTATTTAAATGCAGCAGCTACTCGTCGAGCACCATCTGAGGCTGCAGACAACGGCCATAGGTCCTACAACCTTTGGCTTCCCTCACTTGTAATTTATACGATTTGGTCCTGCAGGCAACACACCCACCCCCCTGCCCAGCCTTTCACCAACCACTGACGTTCAGTTTTCGCGTGTTCTCTTTTGTCTAAAGCTTGCAGGCAAAGATTGGCACTCTGCCTGGCGATATACTCTTAATTTCCTCATTCCTGTCGTACGTGGGTTGCTTTACGCGCCGATATCGTGAGGAGCTGCAACATAAGATGTGGCTGCCGAACTTTCGCAAAATCGATGTAAGTGCCACTGGCCCCAGGATCAAGGCTTTAACTAAAATTCTGCTCTACATATATCGGCCACCCATAGCCACTCATACCGCACACGGAAGGCGTGGACACGTTGGCGCTATTCTCGGACGATGCAAAAATAGCCACTTGGAATAATGAGGGCTTGCCGATGGACCGCATGTCCACAGAGAATGCCACTATACTGGAGCACTCGACGCGCTGGCCCCTAATGATTGACCCACAACTGTAAGCCGTCAAGTAAATTCATTTTCGAATAATATTTTTATTTTGTTGACCTTCCTTATATTTTTAGGAGTGAAGGCTGTTTAAACTGAGCACGAGGCTTTTCATTTAGATGCTCACGAGTTTTTACATAAATGCCTATTTTGTCCAAAGCACATTAGTTTTAATTAAATTATATTCTATATTTTATTTTGGATCCAGATATTTAATTAAATTTTATTTATTTATTTAAATTTATGTCAACAAACATAGAAAAAGAATTATAAGCTAGGAAAGCCTAAGTACAATAATATCTAATAAACGCCTCCGCCGCGGTGGGGGAATATTATTTGCCTTTCGGCTATAGCTATGCCCCGTCTCACAGCCCAGCTAGTTTGTCCCAACTTTCTCACAATAAGTTGTGTTTCAAATCAGAGCTTTATCAGGCATTTCCTAAAATATGAGATCAGCCAAATAACCAGGTACTACTTGTAATAATAATTAATAATTGCTTTCACTTTTTCTTGCAGTCAAGGCATCAAGTGGATAAAGAATCGTTTTGGCGACGCTCTGGTCGTAGTCAGACTGTCACAGCGTGGCCTGCTGGAGGCACTAGAGAAATGTATCTCACAGGGCAGCACGGTGCTCATTGAACAAATTGAGGAGACTATGGACACAGTACTGGAGCCGCTGCTGAGCCGTGCACTCATCAAAAAGGGACGTTACCTGCGTATTGGCGACAAGGAAATTGAGTTCAATCCTAACTTCCGGCTCATTTTACACACCAAGCTGGCCAATCCGCACTACAAGCCGGAAATGCAAGCGCAAACGACACTTATCAATTTTACGGTAACGCCAGATGGGTTGGAGGAGCAGTTACTGGCCGAAGTGGTTAAGATTGAGCGACCGGATTTGGAGAAAATGAAAACGGACGTCACAGTGCAGCAGAATAAGTTCAAGATCGAGCTAAAAGCTCTTGAGGACGAGCTGTTGGCCCGTCTGGCATCGGCCGGTGAAAACGTGCTGGACGATCACGCATTGGTCTTGAATTTAGAAAACACGAAACGCACGGTGGATGAGATAGAAGCCAAGGTGCGTGAGGCTCGTGTCACGACGCTACAAATCGACGATACACGGAATATTTATAGAGCGGCTGCGAAGCGCGCAGCTATTTTATATTTTGTACTCACAGATCTTAATCGAATTAATCCTATCTACAAATTTTCGCTCAAATCGTTTATGCACGTTTTCCGCCAGGCCATTTCGTTGGCACCGGATTCAAAAAACTATGAGAAGCGAGTCCTGCATTTAGTCGAGTCCATAACGCTGCAAACTTATCGTTACACCTTGCGCGGCCTCTTTGAGGCTGATAAGCTTACCTTCACGTCACACATGACGTTGCGCATTTTGATTGCCGCCGAGCAGGTGGCCAAGGACGAAACAGACTTTCTGCTGCGCTATCCACATGATCCCAATACTCTGTCACCACTAGATTTTGTAGATCGCAGTGCATGGGGTGGCATCAAATCTCTGACGTTGATCGAGCATTTCTATGGTCTGGACAAGGATATGGAGAACTATACAAAACGATGGCGGAAATTTATGGCCAGTGATGCCCCAGAGCGGGAACAGTTTCCAGGCGAATGGAAGCATCGCACACCTCTCCAGAAATTGTGCATTGTGCGTGCACTCCGACCGGATCGCCTCAGCTACGCAATGCGCCAGTTTGTCGAGCAGACCATGGGACGCGCCTATGCGGAGGTGCAAACATTTCCTTTTGTAGCCATTTTTAAGGAACTAAATGCAGCCACGCCCGCCTTTTTTATCCTCTCACCGGGTGTGGATCCCATACGCGATGTGGAGCGCTTTGGACAGCAGCAGGGTTACCATACGGAGGCCGGCACACTTATCAATATCTCGTTGGGACAAGGTCAGGAGGTGCTGGCAGAACAAGCCATACAGCAGGCACTGCTATCGGGCCAACAGTGGGTCGTACTTCAAAACATTCATTTGGTCGTCAATTGGCTGCCCACACTCGACAAACTCATCGAGCGCATTGTGCTCGAAGCTGAGTCACAAGGCAACTCTAACTTTCGGCTTTTCATCAGCGCCGAACCGGCACCTGATCCCCAATACCATATCATACCTCAAGGCATTCTTGAGTCCTCACTTAAGGTGGTAAACGAACCACCGGCTGGCATGGCAGCTAACTTACACAAGGCCTGGGACAACTTCTCGCAAGACATACTTGAAACGTGCACCCAGGAAGCTGAGTTCAAGTCTATACTGTTTGCGCTCTGTTATTTCCATGCTGTTGCCGGGGAACGCCGGAAGTTCGAGCCGCAGGGTTGGAACAAGGTTTATCCTTTCAACATTGGTGATCTCAGTATCTCGGCCAATGTGCTGCATAATTATCTAGAGGGCAGCAATCGCATACCGTGGGAAGACCTGCGTTATCTCTTTGGCGAGATCATGTATGGGGGTCATATTACGGACGACTGGGATCGGCGACTTTGCCAGACCTATCTAGAGGAACTTTTGCAACAGGATCTCATTGATGGGGACTTCGAGCTTTGTCCGGGTTTTCCTGCACCACCTAACTTAGACTTTGAGGGCTATCACAGCTACATTAACGAAATGCTGCCCGATGAATCTCCTATGCTGTATGGACTGCATCCGAATGCTGAGATCGGGTTTCTGACCACTGCTTCAGAGCAATTGCTGCGAACTATTTTCGAACTGCAACCTCGCGAGTCTGAACTGAGTACCCACTGTGGTGCTCCACGCGAAGAACTGGTCAAGATAATGATCGACGATTTTCTGGACAAGCTACAAGACGAGTTCAATCTTCAGGCTCTCCTTAATCGTGTAGAAAGAAAAACGCCATTCGTTGTCGTAGCGCTCCAGGAGTGCGAGCGCATGAATGCACTCATTCGCGAGATTAAGCGCTCCCTACGCGAACTGATGCTCGGCTTGAGAGGCGAACTTACCATTACACAGGAAATGGAGCGCCTTGATCATGCAATTTTCTATGATCATGTGCCGGCTGCGTGGGCTATGTTGGCTTATCCCAGTATGTTGGGACTTCAGGGTTGGTTTGCAGACTTGCTTCATCGCATTAAGGAGCTGGCGGGCTGGCTAAATGATTTCAAGCTGCCCTGCGCCATTTGGCTAGGAGGACTCTTCAATCCCCAAAGTTTTCTCACCGCCATTATGCAGGAGAGTGCAAGAAAGCATGATCTGCCGTTGGACCGCATGTGTCTTAACTGCGATGTGACCAAAAAAGAGAAGGACGATGTGACGTAAGATTTGCTCTTATTTCTCTTCCTCTTCTTTAATTATGTTCCCTGGTTTAAGGGACCCTATTTCTAACCTCACTTACACACATTGAACTTTTTCAATTATTTTCAATTATTAAAAGCTTGCCACCAATCGAAGGCGCCTTTGTCCATGAACTGTACTTGGATGGCGCCAGCTGGGATACCCAGCTTAATTCCATTGTGGCCCTACGACCCAAGGAGTTGCTTTGTGCCATGCCAGTAGTTTACATTAAGTCGATTGTTCAGGAGAAACAAGAATCACAACGCAGCTATGAGTGTCCACTTTACAAGACCAGGTACATAGAAAGGAATATTCCTATACTCATATATGTTCTCACTTTGACTTTTCAATATATGTTCACCCTCAGGTCGCGTGGCAACACCTATGTGTGGACTTTCAATCTAAAAACGCGCGAACGCCCAGCCCGTTGGATTCTGGGTGGCGTTGCACTCTTGTTGCAGCCATAAATAAAAGAAAATGGCCGCCCAAACCTTAGAAGCTTGCACCTGCACCTGCACCTCGCATTGTGTTTGGCTGCTTCCATTGTGTATCGGTTACGTTTAGGACTAGCAGCCAATAAAAAGCACAACTTTGTGCTCAAATTATTGAGAAATAAATGTATATTCATAGTGCTTTTACTTGAACTGTGACTCACGGTACAAACTTAACGATATTTTGACGTACTGGATATGGGGAACACAGAGCAATTTCTCAATACAAATTAATCATAGACGGGCAACGAACACAAACGATAAGACTTTCTATACCGGAATCATAATGAGTCAGCACGTTTGTAGGTTTCCTAACAAAAATAAATTTGCTATCAGTTCCGAGCGTATTTCGACTAAATCGGTTCTATTGAAATAATTCGAAAACATGTTAAGTAATTATGAGAGTGCGGAACTATGAAATACATGTTAGACTCTATAATTTTATTACTATCTTATTTGTACACGAAATGTCTTTCACATCGTTTTTATGACAAGTGATATGGCCGTGATAACAATGGACTATTTCGAGATATTATCAATGTATTTCAGAAATTAGCCTCGGGACAACGTTTCAGTGCGATGGCTCTTAGTGTTGAGAGTAGGGTACAACCAGATGGTCATTTATTCCCCTCGTTGTGCCTTACAAATAAATAATTATTCTACTTTTGGCATGATTCGCGAACTATGCATATACATATGTAGTTCTATATATCATAGTGTGTCTGTACTCATTCATTATACATATGTCATAGTGTATCTGTACTCATTCATTATAAAGCGACAGCTCTAGCGTTTTTTGGAATGCTCTCGTCGTGCTTGTGTTCCTATAACACTCAATCTATAATTGTTGTTTATGTTTGTAACAAGCTTCTTCTTTATAGTTATCTCCGTGGAAATCTCTGACCACATACTGCTGTGAGTCGGGGCATAGCTGGCCGGACTGGCTTTAAACTTTCCCCCACCGGGTTGGAGATTTCCCTCTTTCTCCCTTTGTCTTTCTTGTTCCATCTTTCTCTTTCCCTGTTTGTCTCTTCCCTTTCTCTTTATCTTCCTTTCTCTCCCTCTTTACCTCTGTCTCCTTCTACTCCTTACTTTTTCTAATTAGCTCCTACGTAGAATTAATTTTCATCTTCTACATACTACATCAGGTCTATAATGTCTCTGACCACATATGGCTGTGAATCGGGGCATAGCTGGCCAACTGGCAAATAAAATTCCCCCAACGTGTCGGGGGCATTTATAGACGTTATTGTACAGCTTTTTCGTAGGCTTTCTTATCTTTTAAGTTGAGACTATGTTATATTAATCATATTTGAATTTGTAATTTTAAATCTTAATATATATATAAAATGTTAATACTTATATATTGTTATTGAATAAATCGACAGATCCACTTATTGATTTAAATAAAATAAAATAAAACAAGAGAGAACGCTACAGTCGAGCAAGCCCGACAGTGTAATACCCTGTACCCATGTAAACTTGCGTCACTGAGTTATATGCGCCCATAGCAGCAGCAAAAAGAGGAAGAAGAAGAGCGATCTTGTTGCTGCAGTTTGGTGGGGTTGTACTGGCGAAAATTTGTTTTGCTAATAACTTTATTTAGAATTGACCGAATTGAATAAATTTTGAATTTTGAACAACAGTAGACAATTATATATATATTATGTGTGCAAAGTTTGGTTTAGGTAGCATTTGAAATGTGGACGCTATTGACGAAATTCTGTAGCGGGGGAAGGGGGGGAAAATTAAAAAAAATAAAATAAACTCGTCCTTACTCGGACCTAGGAGAATCTGGATGCCAACTTTGGTTATTCCAGCTTTTATAGTTTCTGAGATCCTTGCGTTCATCCAGACGGACGGACAGACGGACAGACGGACGGACGGACATGTCTAGATCGATTTCTCTCGTCATGCTGATCAAGAATATATATACTTTATGGGGTTGGAGATGCTTCCTTCTGTATGTTACATACTTTGCACAAACCTAATATACCCTTTTTACCCTACGGGTACAGGGTATAAAAATAAAATAAAATAAAACAAAGTTAATTACAAAAACCAACACCCCTACACGTTACGGTGAAGGGTATAAAACCAATTAATAAGTAGACAGACAGATAATGTCACAATTAACAAGTAAAAAAGCTAAAGTCGGGTGTCCCGACTTTGAAATACTCTGTACATATGTTTAGAATAATTATAGAAACTAAACAAGATAGAACGCTACAGTCGAGCAAGCCCGACAGTAAAATAGCCTGTACTCTCCACAAAAAAGAAAAATAAAAAAAAAAAATTAAAAAATTTAAAAAAATGAATGAATTAATAAATTAAAATAATTAATTAAATTAAATTAGAATACATGTTTATGTTCAGTTTAAACAGCATACATTTACATCACGTACCTATGCGTGTTTATATGCGTGTATGTATGCAGCACAAAGTGGAACCAAAGTAGCAACAACAACAACAGCTGCGAGCAGCGCTGCCGACAGAGCTGCAGGCAGCGCATGAGCAGCGATTTTACTTATGGATATAACTTTCTTCAGAATTGACCTATCATGATGAAATTTGGCACACGGACACATTAGTACTAACTGGATGTACCTACCAAAATTGATTTTAAAATTCCTAGAATTACGGAAGTTATAAGAAAAAATACGAATTGCGGGGGAGTGGGGGGTGTATCAGAAAAAATAAACAAACTCGTTCTGCCTAGGGCTTATAGGAACCTTGATACCAATTTTGGTTATCCTAGCTCTTGTACTTACTGAGATCCTTGCGCTCATACAGACAGACGGACAGACGGTCAGACGGACAGACGGACATGGCTATATCGACTCGTCTTCTCATCCTGATCAAGAATATATATACTTTGTGGGGTCTGCCACGCCTCCTTCTGTGTGTTACATACATGCGCACAAAACTAGTATAGCCTTTCACCCTTTGGGTACAGGCTATAAAAAGTAGGAGAAAAAAAAAAATTGATCGAGAGGGGGGAGGGAGGGAAATTCCAAAATATACATTTTCTGCGTATTCACATAAGGCATCTGGGACTAAAATTTGGTGTTCCTAAGTATTATAGTCTCCGAGATATAGGCGATTATACGAATGGAAAATCGGGAAAACCCCCATAGGGGGGAAGTGGGGGGGAAAATCAAAAAAATATAACAAACTCGTATAGAATACACACATAAGGCATCTTTGTGCAAAATTTGGTGTCTCTATCTCTTATAGTCTCTGAGATCCAGGTGTTCATACGGACGGACAGACGGACAGACAGGGCTAGATCGACTCGTCTCGTCATGCTGATCAAGAATATATATACTTTGTGGGGTCTACCACGCCTCCTTCTGTGTGTTACATGTACACTCGCACAAAACTAATATACCCTTGTACCCTTTGGGTACAGGGTATAGAAACCAACACCCCTATACGTTACGGTGAAGGGTATAGAACCAATTAATAAGTAGACAGACAGATAATGTCACAATTAAAAATTGAAACAAACAGTCGGATAGACAAGCACGTGGTTTTTCTTAAAAATGCACTGAAGTAAAGGGTTATAATATGTGCATATGTTGTAAGTCATTTGACAGGGAAAGCAATATAAATGGGCTATAAAAAATTATTTACCGACATCTAATTAGTTTTAATTATATTTGGCTACAAAATATTCAAATATTATTGTTTAATCGCTGCCAGACAAATGTTAGTCTGCCCCACAGTGGCCCCACAAGAAGGCAAAGGTGATCAGCTATATATACACAAGACATATGTATGTATGTATGTACATATGTACATATGTACTTGTAAGTATCTTGCGTAAACGACACGTGTTACTTGCGTGTGCTATGGCACGGGTTTCTAATTATTCGCACACATACACAACTGACAGACTTACAGTTTCTCCTAATAAGCCGTCAGACTGGGCCCAATAGATAGGCCCCATAGACGGCGAACACTGCTGTGCCATTTGCTGATCACGTGAGCTAAAAATCGCCGGCCAGAATAATGTACGCCTTCCACTTCATTAGCTTCGAGTGTCAACTGATAAGCCGGCGGAACTTCTCAGAGGGGAAAATTTTTGCGACCAAAGTAACAATAACAAGAAAGGAATGCTAAAGTCGAGCAGGCTCAACTCTTAAATACCCTGTACCACCCCACAAAAAAGTAATTAAATTAATTTAATTAAATTAATTAATTAATTTAATTAAATTAATTAATTTAATTAATTTAATTAATTAATTAACTAAAATAATTTAATTAATTAACTAAATTAATTTAATTAATTAACTAAATATTCCATGCATGCATAGATACATTTACATTTACATCAGAATCGTGCCTTATGCGTGTTTGTGTACTTGTACATATGTATGTATGTGTGCATTGGGCCTGGTTATATGGCTATAACTTTCTTTCCGATCATTCTATCATAATGAAACTTGGTATACGGATATACAATTACTAACTGGATGTGTCTACCAAATTTTAGTTCAAAATTCCAAGAATTACGGGAGTTATAGAAAATCGTTAATAGGGGGGGAGTGGGGGGGTGGATCAGAAAAAATGAACAAACTCGTCCTTTCTCGGTCTCAGGAGAATCTGTATACCAAGTTTGGTTATTCTAGCTCTTATACTTTCGGAGATCCTTGCGTTCATACAGACAGACAGACAGACAGACAGACGGACAGACGGACAGACGGACAGACGGACATGGCTATATCGACTCGGCTTGTCATGCTGATCAAGAATATATATACTTTGTGGGGTCTACCAAGCCTCCTTCTGTGTGTTCCATGTGCACTCGCACAAAACTAATATACCCTTGTACCCTTTGGGTACAGGGTATAAAAAGCACACACCATAACAAAAAATCGGGGGCTCGCCGGCTCGCACTTGCTTGTGACGTGATCTGCGATCAGAATGGAATTGTTTACGTCTCACCAACATCTCTGGCTCAGACAGTACTCGCGGTTGCTAGAACCGCATGTTGCTGATAATATGCGATGTTCTCGATGATGATGTGGGCATGACGTTAGAGGCGCAGATGTATGTATATATGTATGTATATGTATGTGTGTGTCTGTGCACGCGTGTGTCTGAAGCCAGACCAGACTTGGAGCTGCTGTTTGTTGACTGATCCAACAACCAACTGTTAGTCGTTTTTGCATTTGCTTCTGTTGCCAGGCGCCTTTTCCCCGCCACTTCGTTCCGCTTATTAGCGTGTATAAGCGTATTCCCCGAACACGGGCCTTACACGTGAGCAGCGGGCGTCCAACGGCTGGCTATATACAAGATCAAGGCAGCGGCGGGCCGAACATTAAACAATTTCAGATAAAAATTCGCTTTAGCCAGACATTACTAATAGAAATCAGCAAGCAATGTTTGTTGTTGTCGTCGTCGTCGGCGCTAATCTTACGCTTGTGTGTGTGTGCGCGCATTTTTTTTTTTGTTGTTGTTGGCGGTGCTCGTCAAAAAGTATTTAAACGCGAAATGATTCGGTATGACAAATCAGAAACGAAATAATTGTGAAAGAGGCAACAAACGGCAGCAGAAGCAAAAATTTCATTGCAAAATAAAATATATAGAGTCCGACAAAGCGACTTATAATATAAAGATATTTCGCGACGTGCTGATCTATAAAAATCACAAATTTAAGGTAAGTCAAAAAGAAATGTGTCTAATTAGCTCAAATATTTTCCGACATCTATAAACTGTGCCAGGGCCTTCGCTAGTCTAAATATGCTCGAACAGTAGTTCATCATTTCCGCCTTTTCTTTTTACAGTTACTCCCGCACACACACACACACACAATGGCTAGTACACAGATGTCAGTACAAAAATCGAAATACCACGACCACAATGGCGAGCCAGGCTGCCAAGGTCTGGAGGAAGTGAATCGAATGTTCCGCAATTTCTGGGATCCGACGGCCTATTGGGTATGCGACAAGCAGGGCACGCGGGCGCGTCTCCAGCGCTGTCCACAATCGCAGTTATATAGCGAGGAGCTGGGACGCTGTGTGCACTACACAGAATGGAACTGGACGGACTTCAAGGAACCACCAAGCCGGCCCAAGTGTTAAATCCATCCACTGTGACTCAAAGTCACTCACTCACTCACTCCCTTTATATAAGTTTAACCTAATGTGTAATCTCTAAGTCATTCTTGCATTGATATGCAGTTTAGTCATAAACAAGCGTTCTTCATAAAAGTTACGTTATTATTTTTACAAAAATTAATCTTATACGCTTTTAATGAAACGAAACGAGCAACATTCAATGGTTCAGTACTAAATGAAATGTTTCGATGTGTTAGCTCCTTTTTTTTTGCTTTTCTTTCGTTTGCTTAACAATTTGCGCATTGTTCTAAACGATTGGTTATTTTTTTTTTAGTACACTATGTGGAATGTGCGGAAACTTTAAGCTTAACGAAAATTTTCGAGGGAAAAGGAATGTATCGTTACAATCAAAATTATGGACAAAACTGAATTATATGAATTACAATGTCATATAAAAAGCTGCCAAATGTGCTCGACAAATGCAAATGCAAGGAATGTATTGAAATGACAGGAATGCCGTGTTAAACCTAACGCTGGTTAAGCTTCACAGCTCTGCACACCTCTATTTTAGAGCTCAAGATGCTCGCCCTTTTGGCTGATGACCTTCAGCTTCTCAGTCTTGGGCGGTTGGGTGTCACCGGGAATATTCTCCTTAATTGGTGCCGGATTTTGGGGCACCGTTCGAGGTGGGGCTGTTGCCGCAGGCTTGGGGGGTGTTGCTGCTGCTGGCTTTGGCGTGGGTGGTGCAGCCGTTGCTTGAGGCGGTGGCGGTACTGCCGTTGCTTTAGGTGTGGCTGGAACTGCAGTTGCTTTAGGCGTAGGTTGAACGGTCGGCCTTGCAGTGGGGGGTGTGGTTGTTGTTGGATCAGCAGTTCGAGCAGCGGTTGGAGCAGCTGTTGGTCTTGGGGTAGTTGTTGTTGTCGGTTTAGGTGTCGTTGTAGTGGTGGTTGTTGTTGTAGGTCTTGCAGTAGTTGTTGTAGGTGCTGCCGTCGGCTTGGTAGCGGTTGCGGCTGGCGGTGGGGCTTTAACAGCCGGTTCCAGTCCAGCGCCCTCAACACGCACATTTCGGACCTTTACGGTTGGTGGCTTGGCCGCTTTGGGAGACTTGACGCGTCCCAAATAACGATTGAAGGGCGAGCCCAGGTACAAATGATCTTGGAACTCCAACACATGCGAAATTCCACCAACAGAGCGATCGAAGCCATGCAGAGAGCCAACAATTTTACCATTCCAGTCCACTCGCAACACCGTGGCGCGTTTGGGCGCCAATAGCATGATACTCTCTCCATGTCCAATGAAGTGCACAATAGGCTGCGTAAATTTGTTTGGATATATGGCCGAAATGTAGCGGAAGGGCAACTCAAAGAGCGAGAGCATACGAGCGAAGAAAAGACGAATGCTGGGGAATCGTGAGAACATTGCGAATGCATTGGGATTCTCGCTATCGGCTGTGAGTGGGAGGGGTACCCAAATGCCATCGTCGTCGGGTGTTAGATTATCGGGAATACCAGGCAACCCATCAACAAAAACTTCATGTTTGCCGGCATTGGGGCCCTTCAAATGATATTTGGTAAGGCGTGCAGCTCCCGTTTCGGCCACTACAATGAAGTCCTCATTGGGACTGAGCGCAAGTCCGTTTGCAAAGGCCAGCTCGTCCAACAGCACTTCGCTGACATTCTCGGCACGGTTGTATTTGAAGAGACTGTGAAGAAAAGGCAGAAATTGAAACCCGTTAGTAAACACAGTAATAGACAAAGCGTAAACAAGAGGAAAGCTTGTTAGCTGAAGTAGAAAACCGGTTTAAGAGCTCAACGTAAATTAGAAATGAACTCACCGGCCCGATGGATTTGTAAACGATGTGAACACCAAATTTTGAATGTCGAAGTCCGAGGAAGAGTCAGTCCAATAGATTTCGCCTTGCTTGGAAACGGCAACGCTATTGAAAATCTTAGCTGGACGCGCAATTTCCTTGCCCGCAAGCTCCTGCGCTGCCGAAACCAGCAAAGTCTTTTTATGCGTCGTCAGATCTACCATCCACAAACCGTAATAGGCATCGGCAACGATTAAATTATTGCCCTTCGTATCGAAAGCCAGGCCAAGGGGTCGACCACACCGTGACTCTTCGAATATCTCTTCTGCAAATAGATATCGCAAATAGATAACATGTAAAAACAAGTCACTATGATATGCATTTTTAAACGGGCTTACCACAAGGCTGGCCGAATTTAGTCACATGTGTTACATGGTTAGACGTTATTTTAATGACTTCACCGCCATGAATTCCAGCATATATTTCATTGTTTCGTACAATAAGGCACTCAGGGCCATAGACACGCCCATCCAGCAAACGCTCCGCACCCTCCAGGTGCTGGTTGGGTTCCAGGGCACCTTTCAGCTCATTGGGCGGTTTAACACTAAGGGGGTGGGAATAGTTTAGTTTAATACATGTATGCATATGTATACAATTTATGATAATAGCCTAATATTTATGCGTTGCCAAATTGTCGTTTGCATTTACAATAGAAATAGCACTGAGATAGGACCATTACCTTTATTCGGAGACAAGCTTTTGTATCCAAATAGAAGATATGTATTAGAAACTGAGTTGAACTTACATAAATTCCTTAAATGGGAAGGTGGAACGAGGAGGCAAACCGGGTAGTAGGATAATAATCAGAAAGAAAACCATGAAACTCATGATCCTGACACGTATCGCGCGCAACAGACCCATAGTGCTGCTTTAATTAAACTAACTAACATGAACAATTTAACAATTTAATAAATATGAAGAAACCACGGCACAGCCCAAAATCCAAAGACGTGTCAACCTCAACAAAAACTAAAACAAAAAGTCATCGCACCGGCTCAGAGCTGCAATCACTTCTAGGGAGGCCGCAGAACGTTCAAGCCAATATCGTAAGCTAATGTACATATGTCTGAAGCAATATGTTTAATATTCAGTAGTGCCCAAAAGCCTGAGTATTCGCGTAACAAAGCAATAGCTATTAATTTTTAAATGGCTGCTTTACCTTAAATTGATAATAAAAAAAATGTATATTTGTAAGATTGGTTCGTGTACGCTACATAAAGTACTCGGACTCATAACCTGCCACGACTACTCAGGCATCGAACAGTGTGACCCCAAGCTTTGCACAAATAATAACGCATAACAAAAGCAAAGAAAACTTGTCCAATGAGCGACAACGCAATAACCAAAGAGGAAGTATTTGAAATGGAGCACGACCAGGAGCTGGGCAATAAACATTATTCCCGCTGTAGCAGCGCGGGCAGCACACACACGCCGAATTCCTCAGCTCACAATTCAGGTAAATATATACATATACACGTAATTATTATTATGGCATTGTGCCATGAGGTGTTTTGTTTGAGTTCGTTATCATAACGACAATTTTATGGCCAGACGATGACGATGATAGCGGCGATGCGGGTCGCGGCAAGCCAGACGTTTTAAGTTATAAAGAGCGACGTCGTGAGGCGCACACACAAGCAGAGCAGAAAAGACGAGATGCCATCAAAAAGGGCTACGATAGCCTTCAGGAGCTCGTGCCACGTTGCCAGCCCAACGACTCCTCCGGCTACAAGCTCAGCAAAGCGCTGATATTGCAAAAGTCCATCGAGTACATTGTCTATCTGAATCAGCAGAAAATGAAACAGGAAGAGGAGAGTTCCGCACTGCAGAAGGAAGTAACGGCTCTACGGATAATACAAAACGGCTATGAAAACATGCTGCAGCATCAGCAGGCGAATCCCGGGCCTGAGGAGGAACGGCTTACAGACGAGGCCAAATTTCAAGTGGTAAGAATGCAATTAACAAAATTAAGTGAATGTCAAGCTAATACACACCATTTTCCACTCATTGTGTTCTCAAGTTTCAAGCGATAATGCAGGAAATGTTTGACACATTCCAGCACATACCGATGGACAACTTCAAGCAGTTGACCGGTGGTGTCATACCTTGGCTAGAGGAGCACTGCAAGCCACACATTCTGCGCAACATTTTAAGTCGCACGCTCCAACAAATGTCGCAGGAGGTGCTGGACAAGCAACAGCAGCAGGCCATGGATCAGGAGACAACAGAGGGATTTAGTTGATTCATTTTAAACTCTTGTTCCATTTACTAGGTAAATGCCATCGGTTTTTTCACGTACAAATATTAAATGCGCCATTTAAACAGTTGTAAATCGTAAATCCGTTCGTAAGAACATTAACTACAGATTACTTTTTGGTTTGGTTATCTCTTAGAGTATGTTTATATAAAATATTACCCTATGTATAAAGTTTTGTTTTTGAGATCTTCAGTTCATTCTTATAATGCAAAGAATAATTAAATGTTGTGTTTAATGCTACCGTAAGTAGTATAAACTAAAAACTTTAATTACTTAATTGGTTTAAATTGTTAGAATTACACTACTTAGTCAATTTCTGTGCACATAAATAAACTTTGGCGAGGGCAAGTTTCCTTTACAAACCGAATTGCCTATCAGTAGGCACAAAGGCTGTCTGGCTGTCAATCTTATATTCTACTTAATTGTGATGGCCTGCATGGCATGCTCCTCCGCCTCAAGATTGCTGCTGCTCAGCACTTGATGCACAATTTCCAACTCCTTTTCAGCCTGCAGCAGTTCCAAAAGTTCCAGCAATACACGCAGAGTGTAATCTTTTAAATGCTTGATCCCATCTTGTGTGACTCGTAAAGCGACCAGCAACTGTTCCTTAAAACTGGATAAACGCGTTGCTGGCCACACATGTCGTGCCTCATGCTCCAGCTTGAGCACGCCGGCGTGTAGTGTGTAGATGAGGCCTTCGTAGAAGTTGTCATCCGTTACTTGAGCAGCCAGCTTGGCAATGTTCAGCAATGCTGCCGGCAGATCGCAACGAAATTCGTGGGCACGTACAAAGCAAGTAGCTGCTAGTTGTCGCACTTCCTCGCATTTATGCTGCAAATGTTTCCAGCTGAGCTTGCGAAAGCGTGACAGCAGCTGTTCCTTAACTCCTTGGGACTGGGCGCTCATTCGCAAGTGCTCCACTTTGGACAGGAAGCCGAGGAAGAGTATGATAGATGAGGTTGCCTGCCTTTCGTTGCAATAGCGAAGCATGTGCTCACAAGCCTTAGGCAAGAGGCAGGACAGCTCTTCGTAATTGAGCTCGCTCGGCTCCCAAGGTGGACGAGTGTCGAACTGTGTGGCCTGACGCTGTCCCACCAGTTTCGGCACAAGTGCTCCAAAAAGCTGTAGGGCAGCATTGGAAATTGTCCACTCGGTGTGCTCGATATGAGCCATGGCTAGTAGCATAATTTCGTTGTAGTATTTCGACATGGCAACGCGCAGTTCCGTGTCCCGCACCAGCACACAAAGGTAATGCAGCATCAAGGCTTCCCAACGATCTAGATTGAAGCTCGACTCATCGCTGCCGATGAAGGCTTGATTCGAATTCAAACGATGTAGAATCAACTCCATTACTCGCTTAAGCAGCCGCCGATCGTGTGGATTCTCGTTCTTGACCACATGCAGAAACATGATGGAAAATCCGGCACCACGTCTGGTGGTGCTCACCTGACGCCTTCCAGAGAGCAGTTCACTTTCCAGGCAGTCGTGGAGCATCTGGATAGCGGATGCGTCGCTGGACACACCGTTTGTGATGGCGCGCGTCAACTTTCCTACAACACAGACAAAGAAAGTTATGAAGAGCATTATTCACACAGCTAATGAAGGTGAACCCTTACCGATGCTGAGACCTGCGGCTTCAATGGCGCCCTTGTGACGGCAACGTGTAAGCACAGCCACATTTATTTGCAGGCATCGCTGTAGCGGCACAGCATTAGAAGCTCCAGCCTGCCAAAGTAAAGTACAACCCACGCTTGTGGCCAAGTCGCAACATCCCTATAAACAGGAGTACTATTTAATTCCGCACTCAATGTTTGCAAAATAAAAGGACACTTACCTTCAACGTCAGCCAGAAGCTCAAGAGCAAATACTTGCGATACTCCTCGGCCTCCTCAGGCAACGTCTTATACGAGCTCTCCTGCACTAGCAATTGCAAGCTCTCGTCCATGTCCTGAAAACTAGCGACAGTGCCTATCGCTGGGGCTTCCTCAGCCTTCCTGGCGTTGGCCACATTGAGAAAGTCCAGTACCAGATTGAGTATGCGCTCTAGCAGTGTCAACAGTTCAGAGCCCGGCAAGTGGACATCATAACCCGAGCTCACGAGGTGCTCCAGCACACATAGATGGCCAAAAAGATGGCCAGATGAAGTTTTTGCCGTTTGCAGTGGATCCTTTGCAAAATCATTTAGCTTTGCAGACAAATCGTTGAAGCACTTATCATACAATGCACTCGCTTGCTCCTTATTAAAATTACGCACAGCCAGTTGGGCATAGAAAGTGGCAAGTGCGCACTCATCCACTTCATGGCTGGCGCACAGTGTCAGTAGACGGTCCACACAATCATCAGTGTTCACATGTCCCAGTTGGAGCAACAGCTCCACGTTTAGCTCTAGTGCATCGTCGAAGCCCTGTGGGTCTAGGAGCAATTTAAAGAGTTGAGCTGCAACCAATTCCGGTTGAAACACTTTCTGGTCGAGGAGAAAACGGCCGAGCTGCTTATTTTGCTCGGTGCTGCACATTTTAGCATTCTTTGATACATTCTCAGCATACAGCGACTTATTTAAAATATCCAGCATTTTCAGTGCAAAAATTTTGGGCTGGTAGAGGTCGGATTGAACATCTTGCTCTACAAGAAGTTGCAGCTGTCGAAAGAAGCGTTCAATGTTATGAGCCAGAGCATCGCTGCCCGCGCTGTCCCTACCTTTTACAGCCTTATTAAAGTGTTTGGCAGTATGGTTGATTATCGTGGGCATCTTGCCTAGCAGCGTGTTGCGAAACTCACTGCTTTCTACGCTGCGATGCCGCTCGATAAAGTTATAAAAGAACTCCAGACAATCCTCGACAGCAAAGTTGGGCAAATTGTTTACCAGAAACTTGAAAATCAGTAGTTGAGCGTCTGTTTCGAAAGAACTGCAATTGGTGAGAAGTTCGGTGCTGATTTTAAAAAAGTGCAGCTTGGAGACGGCATAAATCTCCTTGGCAAACATGCTGAAGATAAGTATGAGGCGATATTGTTCGTCTATGCCTCGCGTCGCATCTGTGTTCTGCAAAAATTCCACAATCTCCGGCTTTGCCACCAGCATGAACAGCTCATCGCGCTGTTTAATTCGAAGAAACCATTGCGAGTAGAAATTTTGGATCTCTGCGACACTGCCATTAGAGAGCAAGTCTGCGGCTAAGGCGAGTAGACCAGATGACGATTGACTGCTTAGACTCTTCACCGGATACTGACTGGCCGCCAACAAACCTTTATAGCTCAGACTAAGCCTCAGTCCGGCAAAGAATTCGCTTTCACTCTGTCCACTGACTGCTAATAAATCGGCCAAGGAGTGCGACTTAAGAATGCCACTTAGCAGGTAATACTTATTGCGATTAGTCCAAGGCCAAAACTCGACAATGACGCGAAAGTAGAAGAAGGCGCGGTCCCGCTGCTTGCAGCAATGACTGAATAGAGTGAGGGTTTCTTCACGCGATCCCGTCTGACTCTGTAACTGTAGGCAATGATAGAAATGCTCCAGCTTCAGCGGCTGCAGTTTAAGTTTGGGAAACTTCTGCACCAACTGGCTAGTGGCCTTCAGAACGGGTACCAAACTCAAGCTGTTTTGCTGGAGGGCTCTTAGGATAGCCTCGACGCACTTCGTCTCTAACAATTCCGCATCCAGGCGAGCATGCTGAGAGGTCAGGAGAACTGCGAACAGCTGAAGGAACGCATTTGGTTCAGTCAACTGCTGTGGCAGATCTGCGAAGTCGTCGGGTAACTCAAACTTCTCCTGAATATGATAATATATTCGAAATCCAGCATTTAATGTAGCCTGATTGATGCTTGAAAGCTCTGTTTTGCTTGACTCCGCATGGATCAGGGAGACCAGTTTTTTAAGTAAATCATGTGCTTCCGCAATTGTAACATTGTCATTTTCGGAATTCTGTAAACAAAATACTTCATAATATAAATGCAAAACGGGATCAAATAATGACACCTCACTTGCAAGTACGACAGGTATTCCATAATCCACGCTATTTCACAATTATAAATCCCGCAGCTGATTTCTTGGGCGGTCCCGTTCGATACTGGAGCTGGAAAACCACCGAATAATCTACCGATACTATCGAACAACCTCGCATACTTAAATGATATTCGATAGCAGTAGGTCAAGTTAGCAACGATTGATAGCAATTGATTCGTACGATGGAGGGGAAATAAATTCAATATACATATCCTCTCACACAGTAGTACAACTTAAAAATACCTTAACTTGCCTATTTCTTAGCCTGTCTATACTTTTATATATTTTGGGGATATGTTACGCCCTTAATTGTCTCTTACATATATTATATTCTTCTGTACCAGTTTAAAAAAGAAAAATTCACGTATATCGAAGACCCTCGTTCATTCGCTACATTAAATACATACAGTCAAGCAAAATCAACAAATCGGAAATATTTAACACTGCTAAGCCTTTTTAGTAACGTTTCCCGTTTGTATTCATCGGTACTATTTTGACGCACATATACAATTTGTGGTGTTTTTGGGAGTTTTTCCGCAACCGCTTGTGGTCACACTCTTCTTGGGATGCAAAATGGCCGCCAGTCTGTCAAGAAACGCAAGCAAAGAGAAGAAACCAACTTTTTATTTTTACGCAAATTAAACAAAAACAAAACATCAAAATAAACAGCGACCAAAACACGCACCATGAGTTCAATGACTGCGGTGCTGTCCTTGTCCTCGCAGCCAGAAAAGCCCAATCATTACACGTAAATAGCCAAACCAATCTTAATTCCAACCAAATGCATTTTTTTTCCAACTCGCCAAATTCTAAGTAAATCTCCGATTCGCGTTTGCACAGATACCTGAAGGAATTCCGTGTAGAGCAGTGCCAGTCATTCCTCCAGCACAAATGCAACCAGCACCGGCCATTTGTATGCTTTAATTGGCACTTTCAAAACCAGCGTCGTCGGCGACCAGTACGCAAGAGGGACGGTACTTTTAACTACAGTGCTGATAATTATTGCACAAAATATGACGAGACCACGGGTATCTGTCCAGAAGGCGATGAGTAAGTATTTTGGGGGCCTGGTGAAAATCGTGAAAATTCATTTGTGTCTGTCCGCATAAGGTAGTAGTCGCTTGCTGCGACGACAACAACGGCGTAGTATTTTTTCGTTTTGCTTTTGGGTTTTGTTTCTTTGCGATGTGTGTGTATCTCTTGGCTTCGTGTTTACAAACAAAAACTTTGGTGCGGGCGAACAGGGGGGAACAGCGTCTAGCTACATTTTAGTTGTGTGTTTGTAACTACATGGGCGGCCACACCATGCCCTACGCCAAGTCGGCTACAACGTAAAAGATTCTATGGAAAGTGAAAGTGAATTTGTTGCTGTGTTTTAAATTAGTGCGCACAATTCTAATCGGAAGCTCAAGTCAGTCGGGTGTGGTGGTGGTGGTTGTTAATTCAACACACACACACGCACATGTATTAACAGGCTGCTACAAGTGTGTGCGTCATTGTTTTTATTGCGTTTCACTTTTGCGCGTTTCATTCGTTTTATTTTGGTTTTCCTGCCAAGCTGGGAGAGCGGGTAGTGCAGCTTGAATATGTACAGTTATTATGAGCTTTTCACCAAAGCTCTCATGAGCGCTGCGAACGACCGTGGGAGGCAGAAGGCGGCAAAAAATAATACGCAATTACTTTTTAGCAGTGCAGCAACAAATTTTTGTCTCCCAGGCAAATGTTCTTGCCCTTTGTCCTTATGCTAGCCCCATATACACACATGCACATACATATATATGTATGGAAATACAATCTATATGTATGTATACTTACGTATGTATTTATATGATTTCGTACGTTAATTTGAAACGTATTGCATTGTTTCTGCAACTCAAATTTGTATAACAAGAAAAAGAAATTAAAGTTCAGGCTTATTCTACACATGTATGTATGGACTTTCTCCCATTTTTATCCACCGCAAATAATAATATTGTAAATGTTTGTGCATAAAGATAATAAAAGTTGTCCAATCGTTGTAGGTATTAGGTTAAGAATATTGTATCTTAAAACGACAGTAGACGCATTCACATAGCAGTTCTAAGCGAAGAAGAATTTGTATGCATGTATTGGTGATGTTGTGTTGCTATTTATAGCGTCACAGCTAAAGCCCGCGTACTTAACATATGTATCTATAAACGTCACTGCTTTGTTTGACACTCTGTTCCTACTCTTGCTTCGCAGATGTCCCTTTCTACATCGCACAGCCGGGGACACGGAACGTCGCTATCACTTGCGCTACTACAAGACATGCATGTGCGTCCATGACACGGACAGCCGGGGCTATTGTGTTAAAAATGGCCTGCACTGCGCTTTTGCGCATGGCATGCAGGATCAGCGTCCTCCGGTTTATGACATCAAGGAGTTGGAGACACTGCAGAACGCAGACATCACACTGGACGGCACCAATGCACAAAATGCCCTTGATAAGGAGCGTAATCTAATGAACGAGGATCCCAAGTGGCAGGATACCAACTATGTACTGGCTAACTACAAAACTGAGCCCTGCAAGCGTCCGCCCCGTTTGTGTCGTCAAGGCTATGCGTGCCCACAATATCACAATAGCAAGGACAAGCGCCGATCGCCAAGAAAGTACAAATACAGGTACGCTGAAACATTTTAACCCTATTATTTTCTTAGCTAACTTATTTCCTCTTGGATGTTGCAGATCAACGCCCTGTCCCAATGTGAAGCACGGCGAGGAGTGGGGCGAGCCAGGCAATTGCGAGGCTGGCGACAATTGCCAATATTGCCACACTCGAACGGAACAGCAGTTTCATCCGGAAATTTATAAGTCCACCAAATGCAACGATGTCCAACAGGCTGGCTACTGCCCACGTAGCGTCTTCTGCGCCTTCGCGCACGTAGAACGTAAGTTGAAAGTTACAAGATTTCAAAAGTGGGTCCGACATTTGCCAAAGTGCTTTGAGTGCTGTTATCCACAACCATGTAGGGCAATGCTGCTGTCTCTTTAAAACTTACATAAATACGTACACATATTATTCGCCTTGTTCTTTTTTGGTTTCGTTTTGTTTTACACGTTTTTTAACTTTATGTTTCTTACTCACTGCTCGACTACAATCAAAAACAAAACAAAAAAATATCTGCATTATGGGTGCTCATCAATCAAAATGATAAAAACAAAATAATTATAATAATTGTGTGCCTAAAATTCGTGCATAAAACCACATTTAATATTTGCTCTGCTGCTGCCGCTGCTTATTTACCATCAAACCAAAGATCATGCAGAGGCCGAAGAGAAGGCACGGGATCATGACCTGTCACTCGGCGAACTCATTGCCAGTGTTTTGCCCAATAAGGCGAGGGAAGTGGTCGGCCAAACGAAGCTGCCGCCGGGATTAATGCATATCAACGACAACGTACGTATTACAACAACAACTACAGAGCAGAAACAAACATAGTTCATAAATGTGTGCATCCTCTTACGTGTGTGTATTCAACTAACTATCGCCTATCACCCAACAAATAACGAATATATTGCCTTTCACGCCCATCACCCAAATTTACTCTAATTTAGAGACGGGCACGATGAAAATCCTTCAGTTCTAAAATCGAATAACACAAATCACTGTGATTGGTGTGAGAATCGCAAAAGAGAATCCTAGACCTATTCGGAAGATTTTATTGCATATATGTGTGCCCTTCTCTACGTGCATATTTATACATCCTTTAATCAAGCCTAACACCCAAATAGTCTGATCCCTGTGCATGCATTAACCTTTTGATGACAGTTTACAAAGGCGGCTAGCTAAGCAGCTTTACTCTCATTCAGTTTTTCGTTTTTCTTTGTTTGTTCTTTATTTCTCCATAGTTATTAAATATTGATGGTAATAATGCAAATAAAATGTTGGTAGATGCTTTGGAAAATGCTACACTTTCGAGCAAATTTTTAAATTTCACACTACCCCTGGATAGACTTTGTGAGTATTATAAGAGTCTTAGTCGCAAAAATATGCCATATGTTTAGAACAATGGTTGTGGACAAACCAAACAGCAAACGCGATACGCCCTCTTCGTTCATAATTGTAGTATCATATAAAACATATATTTTCTATAATGCACAGCCTGCTCGTTGGAGGATCCACGCGAGAACTCATTGTCGGCAAGCCTAGCCAATACTAGTTTATTAACACGTTCCTCGGCGCCAATTAACATTCCTAATACGCCATTAAATAACTCAATTAACGGTAAGTCGTGAAACTTTATCTATTCGTCAGACAAAAAAGCTAATGTGTGTTTTCTGTTCTTTTTTTTTTACAGATTTCAACTCTAGTGGGTTTTCTGTCAACATTCCCAGTTCGCTCACCTACAGTCCCACAAATCTCTTCGGCGTATCTGACTTCAACTATGGTTCCAATTCCAATAAGCTAAGCAATTCGCTATCGGCAGCCACCCAAAATGATAGCAACAATATATTCTTTCCATCGCGCATCATATCGCCCGGCTATGGCGACGGTTTGTCCATAAGCCCTTCAGTTCGAATATCGGAAATGAATACCATACGTGATGACATCAACAGCAGTTCTGTGGGCAACAATATCTTTGAAAATAATCTGAATACAGCCAAGAATGCATACAGCCTACAATCGTTGCAATCTCAGAGCAATAACGACTTGGGTCGCCTCACGAACGAACTCCTGACGAAGAATGCACAAATACAAAAACTATCCAGTCGATGTGACGAGCTGGTCTGCAAGGTAGGCCTGAATAAATGTGTGAAGCTGAAAAAACTTAAATGAACTATCAATCATTATTTTATATTCAGTATAAATACGCCGAGCTGCATCGTGAGAAGGCCCAGAAAGATGCTCAAGAATGGAAGGATCGTTATGATCTAGCGCAAATACAATTAAACTTGCCCAATGAACTACGCGATCTTTCCATACAAAAACTAAAGCAATTGCAAGTAAGTAAAGAGCTAGCATTTATTAAAAAATGTCTAATGGCAAACCAATTTTAGTCAAAGCTGCGCACCGATCTGGAGGAGGTGGAAAAAGTATTATATACAGAGAATGCCAAAAAGTGCATGAACTGTGAAGAAAACAATCGCACGGTCACACTGGAGCCCTGCAATCATTTGTCCATTTGTAACACATGCGCCGGCTCCGTCACTGAGTGCCCGTATTGCCAGGTACCTGTAATGACGACGCACACCTAGGAGTACGAGTGGCCTGTAATCTACAGTAATGACAACATTTTGGCTTCTTTGAATACAAACTAAATTTAGACTTAAGGGAAATGTTAGAAATTGTTCAACTACCGCATAGGTTGAGGCAAAACATGATTATGATTTACATTTAAACACTATTTCATTATTATATATATTAGGATATCAGACGGATATAGAAGGAAAACAATTACTTGATGCTCTGCATTTTAACATATGTATACGCAGCTTAAATTAATTTTGTAATTGTAAAATGCGTTTCATGTTTTTATTTTGTTTACTTTCAGAAAACTCATTTCATTTGTTTTAATTCAATTTAACTTGTTCATTTTGTTTTACTTTTTGTTTTTTAATATGCAATTTTGAATATATCTTTTTTTTTATATATATATAAATTTCTGTATCTCTCTAAATATGGTATTCAAAAATGCGTATGCACCCTCACTAGTATTATTGTTAAGAAAAAGATTTCATGTAGCCACATTTTAGTAATTGACCTAATCAACTTAACAAATTATTAGCCACAACAAATTGTACTCTAAATACTTGACACACTTTTGTAACACAAAGGATGAGAATTTTATTGTTGCATATGGCAACAAAAAACAACAAACACCACCAGTGATTTTATATAAACCGATTTTCAACATGACTAAGTACTACTATATAGGGCTATATAGATATGTTAAACACAAATAAGAGTCTGAGCGCAAGGGCAAGCAACGAGTCCACCAAGGCACATCAGAAACTTTTATTTACACATTTACCGCACAAAATAATCGCTGATGTGACCATTGTTTGTGATGGACAATAGTTTTTCAATCTAGCACTATCACAAATACTGGTCACTTCTGTTATACGTCTATATATAAGATTGTATTTTTTATAGCTCGTTCTTGCTTTTTTCATCCTTTCTTTAAATATATTTCATTTAATGCTGGTAGGCGCAATGAAATTATGAATCACTATTGTGTTACTGGATATATAGACTTTTTATTTTTTGTATAACAATCATAATGATGTATGTATTAGCAATTTATTATGTTGATAAATTTCTGGTATACAACAATTTATACTCTGCTAGGTTATTATGTGATTTTGGTAGTGCTTTAAGTACTTTTCGCTGCTAAATTTTATTTAATTTTCTTACTTAAACTTGTCAATAACAAAGCTTCCAACGTAAAGCTAGAAGTAAAAAATAAATATATATATATATAAACAAAGTCATCGTGAAATATTAGGAATGTAAGAGAAAGGAATTAGCATTTGGCATATGGTACAAGAACGCATATATAGAGAACTATATATATATAGATATTTATATAGCAATTGACACAAATTAATGTGTGTGATGTGAAAGCATAAACAATAAACGTAAAACAAGACAGCGAATAGTAATGAACAGTCAATGAACGTTAACCAATGTTATGTAAAACCGTCTTCAACACATTTTGCGCCAACAAATAATTAATAAATAATTGTACTTTATGACAAAGTTGAATATACAGAAAAACGGATCGAACTCGAAGGTATTATAGTGATGAAGGCGAACAGTTAATGACTAATCAAAAAGCATTATAGTAAGCTATGTATTTAAAATCGTTTTCGCATATGATGGTGAACTTTGAATTGTTGTTGGAGCAGCATATAGGCATTTATTGAAAAACAATGATGATATGAATACTATATACATACATTAAATATATATACATACATTTTACAGCTAACTAGTAAAGCAGGACAAAGCATTCGTGTGCGTGTGTGTGTGTATGTAGTAGCCAATAACAAGTAATAGTTATAAATAATATAATTGTATGTGTGTTAAATTAAAAATGCTTTAATAGTTTATGCTGTAAACAATTGGTAAAATGCTAAGCAATTGCTTAAACTTTACACTAGATACGAAAACGCAACTATGAAATTAATAAAGGTTTTAAAATGGAGCTGTTGAGTGCGAAATTGCAAAAAGCTAATACATACCTCCCACTCTATTTTGATGAAAGCCTCTATAAAATTTCGGGCACATTATGAAACAACTGCTAATCTAATAGTTAACCTACTTATATAATATATGTTTATCATAAAGAGTACATAAAACAATCGAAAGCAATTATTCAAATATCTCAAAACAAGCACAACAAAGAATGAACCCTTTTCATGCCATCAAGAAATTAAAAGCAACTTGTAAATCAAATATTTGACAAAACGAAAATGTAGTACATTATATATGTAGTACGTGCATATATGTACAATATATATATATATAAAGAAAATGTATGTATATTTTGTATACGCTACTGTAAGAGTGATTTTTATGTGATTTTGAAACTACTTGAATATGTGATCCAGAAATATTTAAAAGAAAAATATTTATATGCAAGCTCTCAACAGCAACAGCAACAAACAAAATGTAACAACAAGTAACATATACACCATGTTGAAACTAAACTTAACTTTATGTACAACAGCAACAACCATTAAAAAATCATGCAACAATGTTACGAGTAGCTCCAGCTCCATTTAAAAACTAAAAACAACTAACTCAACAAAAAACAACATAAACACACATTTAATGTTTGCAAATGCAAACCACACGAAGCAATAAAGTCAACTAGAAATTGATAAAAAAAAAAACAAAACGAAATTAATTTTAACAAATGCCACAACTAAATGTCTAAAATATCAAGTAGCTAGTTATAGGATTTTATAAACAAAGAACAATTGACATTAAAAGAGAAATTAAAGGGAAAATAATAATAAACAGGTAAATGCTAAACTAGAACAATAAACTAAAGCGCAGGCGGATATCAACAAAGTTAAAAAAAAAAAAACAAACTGTTTCACACATTTAAAAACTGCTGCAGACCTAAAAGTTAACTTGCTTACAAAAATAAATCCAAACGAAACAAAAAACCAACAAACATGAACACCGAACTGGAATTTTGTTGAAACATAAGATACAGAGCAACTTGCAACTAAAAGTACTGTCGTAGTCTAAAAATGTCTACAATACAACAAAATTTAATAATTATACACATTTATACAGAGAGGTTAGGTACATTTGTATGTATGTAACGAATTTGTCAGTTGGCGCTAACCAGCCCGCAAACTAAAAATAATTTTTTTTATTGAACAAAAAACAAACAGCAGCAACAAAAGGAAACAATGAAAGAAACGAAAAGCATGTATTTTTATGTGTCAACAAAAAGAAGTCTTTATTAAAATTTATTAGCAATTTTTAATGTGAATTAATATAATAAACAAAATGCCGAAAAATTGAGAACACGTAGACATCTGCTATGTGAACCTTTAATTAGACTATAGCGGATATGAAAATATATAGAATATATACAATAACATAATTGTATGCTGCGTACGCGAAGAAAGCGCACACACAAATACAAGCAATTTTCACTTTTTTTTTATTTAAGCAAAAGAATATTTTATCATTATTGTGCGAAACTGTTCCCACATGTGGTTGATGTCTATGCTAAGCGGGAGTGGAAGACATTTGGTTGAAGTCCTGTTAACACGTTTTGTTTTTTTGTTTCTGCTAAATACGATATAATACTAACGATAACAGCCTGTTATTTTTATTGAAATGTTTCATTTTGCTAAATCGCATTTGTTTATGCGTTAGGAATGTGCCAAAAATAATCTTGATTTATTTATATTATTTCGACTTTTAAATGTATAACTACAAAAATGATTATAATTTTCAGAATATTTAAAGACTGCAATTATTTTAATTTTCTTTATGAAATAATTTCTTTTTCACATTAAATATTTTAACAGGCAACCAGTATATGGAGATATTTGAACATTTTGAAGCATTCTCAGCTCATCTCTCATCTCACAATTAATTTTTTATTTCATTTCCCATTTTTTGTTTTACAATTTCTTGCAGTTGTGTGTGGCTTGTATGCACATATAGTATTTAAATTGAATGAACAAAGTTAAAATTGAAAGCGTTTTGTAGTTAATTATGTATGTTTTATCCCAAAAACTAAACCCAAACAAAAACAACTAATATGGCAAAAACTAAGTGTAAACGAAATGTTAAAATAGTAATTATCTGAGACATAAGAAAAACACCCACAAATGTGTGTGTTTTAGTAAATAAAATTAGTTATTAACACATTTAAATGAAAATAAAAAATTAGTTGACAACAAAAACCCCAAGAAGCGCGACGTCAGTTGAAGGGAATTAGCAAAACAGAAAAAGCATTTTCTATAGAAATACCGACAAATTCAATATTTAACTAGTTTTGCATTGCAAACAATGACAGATGACAACAAAAATGAATGAGAAACAGCAGAAATTATATGGATTTATTGTATTTGAAAGTATATATACGAATAATTATTATCTAGCATTACTTACTAATTTGTGTAGTTATTGTAGCTATTTGGCAATAACCAATAAAAAATATATTATGGAATAAAAAAGTGAAATAAAATGTTCAAGTGCAAAGCAAAAGCGTTAAAACAATGAAACCAAAATGACATTTATAGAACAACAACAACAACAAAAATGAAAGAGAATACACTTATGTTGAACGATCAATCTTGAGGATAGTGTGAAGATATGGTAACTATGCTATGCTATGTAAACTATGCAATTAACAAATTGATAAATACAACTTACAATAAAAATTCATAAAAATCGTCTGCGTTTTCTATATAGTATAGCGGGAGGAAGGGGAGCGGAAACCGAACCATTCGAATGCGACTTTTGCACAGCAGCCAACAACAAAAGTACCAAGAGTCAAGTCAGTCGATGAGACAAAAGCCAAGGCGCTTAGCTACATTGGCAGCGTTCCCATGCATGATTCCAATCTGAAAAGCATGGCACACACAAAGAGGCGCAGAAAAAGGGCAATACGAGTAGAAAAATATATAAAGGCTGGCCATACCAGAGACTACATCATCAGACTCAGGCTCAGACTAAAAGACAGAAACGGCAGAAACTCGTAAGAATTTTAAAATGCACGATAATCGTTCAGTGATAGCAAGCAAGCCGACAATACCCAAACCGTCTGTCCGTCAGTCCAACTGTCTGCCATACAGTCAGTCTGGCCTGCCTGCCACCTTAGCCTCCTCGTGGAGAGCGGCCAAGGGAGCCAGTTTGAAACAAGGCCCAATGCGATATCGCCGCGTTCGCGCGTTAAACACAAGCGCAACAATTTTTATTCTGTCAGCGAACGCGTGCCTGTATTTGTGTGGTCCCGGACCTCAGATTCAGATCCAGCTTCAGTTGCAGCTACACCAGCAGTGGCAGCAGC